TTAAACCCAGTACTGTTAAGCCCGTAACTAGAGTAACAAACATAAGTTTGATATGTTTGAGGTGGGCCGGGATGAGCAGACCTGTAGTCCCAGCTAGTCAATGAGGCCAGTCTGTGCAACTAAGACAAACCCCTACCTCAAATGAGAAGTAGCAACTGTGCTGAGGATACATGTGTAAAGGTTCTAGGTTCAACTTCCAATACTATTTTGCAAAATATTAAACTTTGATTTTGGGGGGTATCTTTTGTCTTCCCCCATTAGGCTGTGTGTCGGAATAATGGCTTCTTCTCTTATCACATGCCCAACTGGTTTGGCACCACAAAATATGTCAAGCCTCTGGTGCAGAAGCTCTGCACTCATGAGCAGATGATGTGCAGCAAGACCTGTTACAACTCAGTGAATATTGCCTTCCTAATTGATGGCTCCAGCAGTGTTGGAGACAGCAATTTCCGTCTCATGCTGGAATTTGTTTCTAACATAGCCAAGACATTTGAAATCTCGGACATTGGAGCCAAGATAGCTGCTGTACAGTTCACCTATGATCAGCGCACAGAATTCAGTTTCACTGACTATAACACCAAAGAGAATGTCCTAGCTGTCCTAGGGAACATACGCTACATGAGTGGTGGGACAGCTACTGGTGATGCCATTTCCTTTACTGTTAGAAATTTATTTGGTCCCATAAGGGACAGCCCCAACAAAAACTTCCTGGTAATTGTCACAGATGGGCAATCCTATGATGATGTCCGAGGCCCTGCTGCAGCTGCCCATGATGCAGGTAAGATAGTTGTCCTTTGTGTTAGGGATAAGTAAGGGGTCCTGTGAATTCATAGTCAATATAGGCTCAGGCAATTTTGTGGAGAGGATCCTTGCAGTGTGGACTTATTCTAAAATTTTTAGAGTCTCAGTGATTGAACTGAAATCCTTCCAAGCTTCATTGAAATCCCTTTGGAAGTTTTTTTTAATCCCCAGATTTGTTTGCTTTAGTGTTAAAGACTAGCAATTTAAGGTTTATGAGTGTTTATCCTATGTGTATGTGTACCACATGTGTACCTGGTACCCATAAACATCAGAAGAGGGCATCGGATCCCCTGGAACTGGAATTAGATGGTTGTGAACTATGTGGATGCTGGAAACTGAGCACAGGTCCTATGCAAGAGTAACAAACGTTCTTAAGTGCTGAGCCATCTCCTGGAGTTAGAATTTTTGATTATTGGATTTGTCAATATAACTTCCAAAACTAAAGAAGAATCAAAATTATCACTAGCTTCATTCCTCAAACAATGCAAACTTCCCCATTTATGTATCTTTTTTGTGCCAGTATCAATTTAACCTACTTATTAGGACCCAAAATGTCTAATGTGACAGTAGCAAGTCTTTTCTCACTGCCAAGCATAGATAGATCAGGGGGAGGATGTCCTTCTGTTCCTAGTTGCTCAATGCATTGTCTTTAATGAATTGACTATTTTGGTATTTTCAAGTTGTTAATATATATTAAGTTGCTGATGGCAAAAGTTTTGACTCCAAATATTTTTGCCATAGTCAAAAAGACGGTAGTCTACCTAGAAAACAGCATAGATTCCACTTAAATTGTTTTCTCTGCAGCTATGTAATAATGTATGGAATATGTAACTTTATATGTAAGCTAAACCTATTTTTATCTCACTTAAAAATATTTCCATTGTAGGTATCACCATCTTCTCTGTTGGTGTGGCTTGGGCACCTCTGGATGACCTGAAAGATATGGCCTCTAAACCCAAGGAGTCACACGCTTTCTTTACCAGAGAGTTCACAGGATTGGAACCAATTGTCTCCGATGTTATTAGAGGCATTTGTAGAGATTTCCTAGAATCCCAGCAGTAACTGTGATATTCTGACAACTGAAGGAATAAGTACAAGGGGATCTAATATTGCAAATTATATTCTCCATACCTAAGTAACTTTATAGTTTTCCAGGATCAGTAAATTCGTCAACAGCTGAAGGCCCTACATTAGACTGGCTGAGGCTTGATAACCAGGGTCCTTAGAAACTCAGGAAAGAGAAATGTCATGATTTAAAACTGCAGAGTTCAAATATGCAAACTCAAAGTGGATATGTAAGTGCCACAGCTCAATAAAGAATCTGACACTTAGACACAAGCACTGTCCTTCTTTAACCACTCTGGATTGACTGTGCAATAAAGCAAAGCAGCTTTTAAATATAGATCATGACCCATGTGGATGTTTTCTTAAAACCAGGCAACAACAGACAGCTGTTATTTCTTGTACTAGACATAACTACAAATTATATGGAACCATGTATCAAGCTTCTTTTGTAGCGTGTTTTCATAACTAATTGCTGAAAATACCACATTGAGTAAAGATAGGATTGCCTGGTATTTTTCTATTTATATCCTTAATTTTATGTGTATAGACAGGCATGTACTCCAAGGACTGAGAAAATGTTTAAGCAGGTAAAGTTTTTGAAAAAAGATGTTTCAAGTATTGTAATAGGAAAAATACATGGCATAATAGCTCAGATATATCAATAATAATAAAACTGGTAGCGACTTACTCAGTGCCTCTTTATTAACACCATTTTTCTTCTTCCTATGACACAAATTCTACTCTTGCTAATTTACATGGAATGACTAATCTGAACTAAGCCATGCAATATTTTATTCAATTACATGCTAAAGGCCTATTATAGATAGCATGAGGTTAGCCACTAGGGCATGTTTTTGAGTACCTGCTTCAAAAGAAATGTAATAGTATTATTTTAAAAACGTAACCACATTTGTGAAGTTACTATCAAGGAGAGTATCAAAACCCACTCAGTGTGGACTAGAACCCACAGAGACTCTCCCTAGAGGAATCATCCCATCTTAGTTTCTCTAACCAGGTTCTTTCCTCTCCTTTACCCACCTGTGGACCTGTTTACTACTAAGTAATTTGGGAAAAGCACTGGTTGTAGACTCATTCATGACTTACTGGAGTATATACAACTTCCCTAGCCCATGCAGAGAAAAAGGATTATATATATGATAGCCTCAAAAACTACATAAAGACTGATAAAAAGAACATTCCTCCTCCCCTCCCTTCTTATAAAAGGCTGCAAAGGATTCACTGTGAACAGGAAAATCTTACCATAAAAAAATAGGTTCAATTTAACCTGACTTCAAAGTTCTCTCCTGAGTAAATAAATCCCCAGCTTCCACTCATTACCTCATTTACAGAAGTCTTTCAATTTTACAAAACACAAAACTTTGAAGCAGCTGAGATAACCAGAGGTGCTAATACTAACACTGTCAAAAGAGCAAGAGAGTTACAATCAAAGAAAGGATTAATAACTAGGATACACAACAATGAATTGCTTTTGAGACAAGCTGGCCTTGTAAAAAAATTTCTACCTCATCCTCTTCATTGCTGGGCTTTAACATAGGTTTTAAAAAGACCTATTATAATCCAGTTTCAGCAGGCACGTCTGAATTCCAAACATGCTAGCTCACTTTGTAATGTTTTGCCCAACGTGTTGGAGACAACTGAGGATGTTCTTGGGATTACAATCATGAGAGGCACCACACTTTTAATGAGTTGAGATGTTGACTTTAGGTTGATAAAAGCTTGCATGAGGAAAGTAAATACAATCATGAGAGATGCAATGATTAAATAGCAAGAGTAAAAAGACAAACATAATAAAATTAAAATACCATTAAAACTTACATGTAAAATCAAATAACTTTCCATAAGCCACAAATGGAAACACATATAAAACAAGACATTCTTTTTTCAAACTTTTACTCTCTTCCTAAGTTTACTATCATTAAAAAAATATGACAAATAAACATCCTATTTGAAAAATCTATATAGTTTGGTCTGTCAGCCACAGACACAAATGCTTGTGGGTGGCAATAACAAGCAAATCACAGTTAAATTGTTGTGCAGCAGACTTCAAAAATCTGCCACAAATAAAACTAGCTTCGGAAAATTTATTATAAAAACAAACACGAGTGAGGAGGAAGGACATCCCTTTGTTCTTTTCATTTTTCAGCTCAGAAAACAAGAACCACGTGGTGTCCTTGGGTATATGTGGCACATGCACTGAGAGTGCACGTGTATGCCCATGCATGCATGTGAAACCCAGAACAGGCTTTTCTCTAGTGTTTTCCATCTTAAGGACTTGAGCTGGGATGGGGGAGTCCTCCTACTCAAACAGCTCACCACAGGGCTAGGCTGGCTTGCCAGTGAGCTCTCAGGACCCTTCTGTCTCTGCCCCCTCAACACTGTGGTTATTTGCACACACAGTCACCCTGGACATTTTACATGGGGACCAGAGATTCAAACTCAAGCCCTTATACTTTTTAATCACTCACTCACGAACCATGACCCCAGACCCCAAAAGCAGTAATTACTTTCGTAAATTCTGAAAACTCTTAGTGTTTTATCAGCAGCAACTGAGTTGCTTGAAATTTCTCAATATATAACTTAATTTTTAAAACCAGGAATCCAAATAGAACTTTGCATAAATGTTCTATGGTGCCTAATTCAATTCCATTTGTAATTTTAAGAGAGGGAGTATTAATGTCTTGAAACGTTTTTAATAGCTAACTTTTAAATTTATAAGGACAACTTTCCACTAAGCAGATAATGCAGTGTATTATTTGCTAACATTTTTTGTGGAAACAGGTATAACTAAACAAGCAACACTATTTACTGGTAAATAAAACTCATATTTTAAAATAATAGGATGCCTAAGCAGATTATTTAAATTACATACCTGAAACTCAGGGGATGAGGATGACACTGGTTGATTTCACTTATTTTAATAGGATAAAAGCTACCCCAGGTGGAACAAACAAACTACTTTGAAAAGTACTGTAACCATACTAGAGTATCAGTAACTACTAGGAATATTAAAAAAGCATAAAAATGGACTAGGAAACCACCTCCATCTCTTACTTTAATTGTGGAGAATATTGCACTTTATTATTGAACATGAAATGATGTGGCCAACAGCAACATACAGGTACACAATTTAATATTTATTATATGCATTTTATATACATTATTTTTCAACAGCTGTATGTTTGCTTTGTGATACAATCTTAAAAATTTGCTGATTCATAGTCTGTAAAACAAAAACCTTACAAAACTCATCAAAACTCGCAAACTGATCAGAAAAGGTTTTTGGAAGACTAGAAAAAAATACTTTTTTGTCTTAATCATGCATTACACACACAAAAAAAATCTTTAGTTACACAATAAAATTAAGCACATCTAAAAAAATAAAACAGGGGAAACTAGTCCAATCTCAGCAGACTTCTGTATCCTGATTCAACTTTTTAAAATATCTTATATGTAATAGCAATATCCTTCAATTTTTTTTTTTTTAAAAACTAGATCATTTTGTTTTGGAATCATGGTAAATCAAGATAGTATCTTGGGGGAAAACACCTTGGTTTGTAACTTAACTATAAAATATTCCATTTTTAGTCTATTTTAGACTGTTTAAAGAGTTCCAAAATAGATACACAGGTTCCCTTAGCACATTAATAAAAGGATATAAAGACCAACAAAAAGTGAAATAAATAATAGGCTATTAGCAAGATGGATAATCCTTGATAAATAAACTTGTAAATACAGTAAGATGTACAAAATATCACATAGTGATAGGATGTCAAGATTAGTTTTGAAAGAGTTCATTTGGAGTACTAAACTCCACAGCTTTAATGTACTTAATAGTCCTTGATTCATGAAGACATGTAGACGAAGGTGATTTATCATCTTTATGAAGGACTTAGCTGAGCTGTATTAGGCAAAAGGAGGAAAGAAAGTGGTTATAGGTGGCAGGTTAGTGAGATCTCTGTGTTTTAGGGCTGTATAATGCAGAAAAACATCAATATGATCTTGAGCACTGTTGTGACAGGCTAAATATATAAAAAGACTTATAAAAACTAGAATTTTATCCAAACATTTTGTGCAACTAATGCTAAAATATTTTAAGTTAAATTTTATTTTCTTTCTTTTTTTTTTTTTTTAAAGCAAAATAAGTTTAGAAGGGAGTCTGTGGCATTCAAACGATAAACGTGAGATCACTAAGAGATGAAAAAACCTACTCTTGGAGCTTGCTTCCCCACAAGAGCACCACATTCCCAATCCTAAGGCAGCACACAGAGTCCAACAAAAAGTCCTTTTTGTTTTGTTTTTTGTTTTTTTTTTTTTGTTTTGTTTTTTGTTTTTTGGTAAGACACCTTAAAAAAAGAAATTATGCTCAGTTCATATCCAGTATTTAGTACAGATACTGGAGTCTTTTTTCTGTCCCACAAAATACAGTTAATTACAGTAAAACTAATAAGCCTGACATAAAGATGTGATTCCCAACAACTTATGCCTGCCCCCAGTAGCTTTACCCAGGCAGATCACATGTAGTGTCATATCAGTAACCTTCTTGATGGCAGTGATACAGACAGACCCCCTTTCTGACCAAGCAAATTTTTTTTTTCATGATGTGAGTCTATGTTGGTTCACACAAATACTTTGGCAAGGGCATCAGCTCCTGCACTGGCGATATATGCCTTTGATGGATGGAAAGCAACATCATAAATTGACTCGTCCAATTTCTTCCTATGAGCTGTTATTTCTTGTACACATGTCTTACTGTCCAAATTCCATAATCTAATGGAGCAGTCATGGCCTGTAAAAGACAAGTTAAGCTTGTTACTGAGCAACAATTCTTTTATAAAGTTTGTATGTTGTACAGAAGTTCAAACTTACTTCCAGACATCAAATAGATTCCATTGGGATCTACTGCTAAACTTGTAACAGCATCCAAATGAGCTACCATAGAATGGATCATTTTACCTACAAAACAAAACAGACGATTAATGCTGAGAGGCAGATACTAAAACACACCATCAACATAAAACAATCACCATAGCAGTATTTTCAGTTTTGGAAAAATATTAACAACATAAAAGTTAATATTTTAACCATTTGGGAGCACACAATTCACAGTGGGCAACTACCACCAATACCTAGATCACATTTTCATCACTAAAAAAAAGACAATCTTGCATCCAGTATGCAACCCTTGACCAATCCCTAGCAACAATGGTCTATTCTTTCTAGAGAGTAGCCTATTCTGGATGCTTTACACTAAACAGATTCTGAATATGTGGCTTTTGTGTATAGCTTCTTTCACTTAACATAATATTTTTCAAAATACATATACTATACTAATAGTATAAAAGAAAATATTTAGTATAGTTATTTTCTTAAGACTTTGCTCCCAAGTAAAACATTCCCCTATAGATTATAGATAATATTATGGTAATAATGGTGACATTATTTATTAAAGCTTGCCTGAGAATTCAGAAAGCAAAATCAGCCACAAGCCATAGAAGCCAGGCATACACCTTTAATCCTAGGCCTCAGGATTAAGAGATAGGCAGGATGGCGCACAGCACTCGGGAGGCAGAGGCAGGTGGATCTCTGTGAGTCCAAGGCCACCCAGATCTTCACAAGATTGATCCAATCCTAAAGAGAAACAGCTCACATAAAGATGATCTTAGCACCTGGGATAACACATCTTTAATCCCAGCATTGGAGAAGGATAAGACAGGAGCAAGGTTTCAGTATCGAGCATTCACTCTTCAGCCATGTTGAGACTAGAAATGCCCCATTCCTATTAGAGGTAAGTGTTCTCTGTCTGGTGGTTTGGCTGCTTTGCTTCCCTTATCTTCAGCTTGAACCCCATATCTCCCTGGGTCTTTTTTTTTTTTTTTTTTGGTGCAACACTCAGTAGACAAACGGCAAACAGGTCACATGTCCAAGGAATCTTGGAAGGTTCGGGAAGTCCTGTCCCTTCTACCTTTCCTTTCTCTCTTTTTTTTTATTTTTAATTTATGTGAATGAATGTGTGTCTGTGTGTGTGCCCAAGGGAACCAGAGAGGTGTCAGCTCCTGAAGCTAGTTTCAGGCAGTTAGAACTGCCTGATACGGGTACTGAGACTTGAACTTGATCCTCTGCAAGAAAAATGTGTACTTGGCCACTAAACCATTTCTCCAACCCTTAAGTTTTCTAGTAAAAAAAAAATCTGCTGGGGAAGGAGCCTCATTTCAGAGATTTCCTCAATCTGTGGACCTGCCTATAAGTATGCAGAGAATAGGCTTTTCCGTATTGCAGCTGATTTTTTTTTTTTTTTTTTTTTTTTTTTTGATCTATTACTGCTTCTGTAAGTAACCCTTACCCATTCTCCTGTTAGTAACCTCAAAAAGACCTTTTTGGTTCAAGTTAGACTTAGGTATAATGACAGACCAAATAATGATTTTGGCCTGTCCTGGTTCCTTTTCTGGGGTGATTGTTGACTTGCAATAAAGATTCACTTACTTTTGTGTTTGTGTGAGTTTGCAAATTTAATTTTTTAAGGATTAATATGTACAAATGTTTGACTGTGTAGGTATGTGTGAACTAAATAGGTAGCCAATGCTTGCAAAAGTCAGAAGAGGGCATTGGAAACCGTGGGACTAGAGTTACAGATGGTTATAAGGCACATGCTGCAGGAGTCAAACTCAGGCCCTTTGCAAGAAGAACAAGTGCCCTTAACCTCTTTGCCAACTCACCAAGTTGTAATTTAAAACAAGCTGTAAATACAAAGTTTTTAGGGGAAAAATACCCTGCACTGGCAACATGATTTCATGAAGGAGAAGCAACATTATAACTTGATTCAATCTGGAGTCATCCAGATGGCTCATAAAGTAGGCATTTGCTACCAAGCATATCTACCTGAGTTTTGAGTCCAGGGAGGAAAACCAATTTTTCTAAGTTGTCCTCTGACCTCTACATGCACATGCCCATAAACACAAATATGTGTTTAAATAAATAAATAATAAATAAATAAATTGGGCTGAGCATGACAATGCATGCCCCTAATCCCACAACTTGGGAGGCAGAGGCAAGTGGATCTCTATAAGTTTGAGACTGGCCTGGTCTACACAGTGAGGTGCAGCCTGGGTTATGTAGAGAAACACTATCTTTAGGGAGAAAAAAATAAACAAGAAGGGAATAAAATAACAAATGCTGATACTTTATAAAAACCAATTCTCATTTAACTAGCACCACTAGGATGTAAACTTAAGTTATCATTTGCCATAGTGCTGGCCCTCTATGATATTTTTACTGGGATATAAAAGAGGCCTACTCTCCTTACTTACTCCTGAACCACAAATGTTGACCAGAACACAAAACTAGAAAATAGTCAAATATGCAAACCATAAAAAATTGAACCATTTTCTGGCAATGCTAAACAGTTATCACTTAAGGACAAAGGGAGATGCTTCTGTTGATTTCAAGCCACAGCTATTTGTTTCTCATCACTAATGTTTACTAAGAGATTAATTTTAGGAGTTGCTGATACTTAAGTAACATAAATTCACTTAGCATAGACTAGTACTTTTAATATGAAAGTTTTACTAATTCTTTTGAGTTTTATACAATACATTTTCTAAATCAAATTCATTCCCTCCCCCAATTTCATGTCTCTTTTCTCTTATTAAGACTATAATTTAATTACATCATTTTCAACCCTTCCCTCCCAAAACCTTTTGTGGAGATTTGAATGAGAATGGCCCCCACAGGCTCATATACTTGAAAGCTTGGTCATTAGAGAGTGGCACTGCTCGAAAGGAATTAGGAGGGGTGACTTTATTGGAGCAGGCATGCCCCTCTTAGAGGAAGTGGGTCAATTCCAAGCCAGTCCCAGTCTCTCTCCCCTCTTCCTCTTCCCCTCCCTCTCTCTCTCTTTCTCTTCTTGCTACCAGTAGATTTGCATGCAGAACTCTCAACTATTTCTCTAGCACCACATGTCTCTGTGTACTGCCATGCTCCAGACCATGATGAAAATGGACTAAATCTCTGAAACTCTTAAGCAAGCCAATTAAATGCTTCCTTTTATAAAAGTTGCTGTGGTCATGGTGTCTCTTCACAGCAATATCCTCCCACTATGTCCACTCTTGTTCTCTTTCAAATCCACGGTCTCTTTTCTCATTAGTTTGTACACACATATATGTACATGTATGTACATACATATTCTCAGAGATAACCTGCTCAGTGTGTACTATGTTACCTTTAAGTATGTTTTCAGGGCTGACCATTTGGTACTGGGTAACCATTTGGTGTTTCAACATTTCTATATTTCAACATTTCTATAGTTCTTTGTGTGGGGTTGAGGCTTTGTGCTCTATCTCCCATCCATTCTAGCCTGTCTATTGCCATTGTTCTTGCTCAGCTCATGTTTTAGGCAGCCATGTTGGTGGGATTTTATGGGTATAGCTTCTGATGTTACTAGGAAACACAGTCTCACAGCAGACTCTGATCCTCTGGCTCTTATAAGCTTTCTGACCTTCTACAATGATCTTAGGTTCTGGAGAATAAAATGTGTAGTTCAGGCTGGCCTTGAACTAGTAATTCTCCCTGCCTCTACAGCATAACCACCAGAGTGTGCTACCATAACTTTGGCCTTTAAATTTTTTAAATTTTTATTCTATGTATACAGGTGTTTTACCTTCATGTATGAAAGTGCTCTGCATGTGTACCTGATGCCAACTGGGGCCAAAAGAAAGTGATAGATCCCCCAGAACTGCAGTTAAAGACCACTATGTGGGTGCTGGGAACTGAACCTGGGGTCCTCTGCAACAGCAGTAAATTCTCTTAACCACTGAGCTATTTATTTTTCTAGCATAAACTTAATAATAATAATAACAATAATAATAATAAACAAAACCCCACCTGTGCTACCCATATATTCCTGGGTACAGGGTGACTCATTGGAAGATGATCAACCTACATCCTTAAAGAGGCCACATCTGTTGAGGATTATTTGTTTACACTGCATAAGATGTGTCTCTGCCTAAGGTGCCTTCTCACTGGTTTAATAAAGAGTTAATTAGCCAATAGCTAAGGAGGAGTGATAGGCAGGACTTCTGGGCAGAGAGAAGAAACTTCAGATGAATCTAGCTGCGCAAAGGACACTAGCCAGATATGGAACGAGTTGGATACAAAGAATGAGATAGAGGTAAAAGCCACAAGGCAGAACGTGAATTAATAAAAATATTGGTTAATTTAAGTTATAAGAGCCAGTTGAGACAAGGCTAAGTTAAAGGCCAACCTTTCATAATTGTTTCTGCACCATTATTTGGGAGCTGGCTGGCAGGACAGAGAAGGATTTGATGTATACATATTCTTAAAGAAAATGGGAGCTAGATACATGGCTCAGTGGTTAAGAGCACAGACTGCTCTTGCAGAGGATCTAGGTTCAATTCCCAGGACCCAGATGGCAGCTTACAACTGTCTGTAATTCCAGGATCCACTGCCTTCACAGAGATTTACATGTAGGCAAAACACCAATGCACACAAAATAAAAATAAATAATTTAAAGAAAAGGGACTCTCTTCCAGAAGGCATTACCTGTCAGTAATTCTTCAATTAGAGGGTGATAACTCTTGAACCCCTCCCTCTAATGCACACACTCTGTAATGCTGACTTGATTTTGTGCAGGTAGCCACACCTGCTGATAACACAGTATCTTTATTAGTCCGACAAAATTCATATATCAGTTCTAGAATCTATTCTTCCCAATAGAATCATAAAAGAACCCAGAGTATGAATAGTTCTGTTCCAAGTACCTATCATCAAGCTTCATTTAAAATGTCGCTTTTTATAGCTGAGCATGCTAACATATGAATCCCAGCACTCAGGAGGCAGATCTCCGAGTTCAAGGTCAGCCTGGTCTACAAAACAGGTTCTGTAACAGCCAGGGCTATACAAAGAAACCCTCTCAAAAAAAAAAAAAAAGAAGTCACATTTATGATGGTGACTCAATTCACTGACCTAGTTCTAGTCCTTTCCTCCCTCCTGAGAATAATCCCATCCCCTCCTCCCCCATCTTTTTTGGTTCCATCCTTCCAGTAACACCTATTTCCACTAACGTGGGTGGACTCCTAGCTAAGGATGTAGTTCAGTGGTATAACATTTGCTCTACAATGTGCAAAGCCCTAGGCTCATTTTTCAGCATCTGCTCCTTCCCCAACAACAAAATAAAAAATGACAAATTGCATGTTTTATAAGTGAGAAAATGTAATACTATATATCTAGAGTTATTAAAAATGCAAATGAGCTAGTGCTGGCCTAGGGATCAAGAGCACCTTTGAACCCATTCATAGTATCAATTGTATTGTATTGTATCATAGTATTGAATCCATTCTTAGTATCAATTTTTAACATGTCTCAGATTCTTTAAAAAAAAAATTCCACAAATTTACTATACGTTTTATATAATATTCTAGCTAACCAGAAACACCAGTTATGGGAAGAGACTAGGTGATAATATTTAAATAAAAGTATTTAAATAAATAATTACTTCTAAAAACACAGTATGTGAAAATAATTTAATAGTTTAATGTAGCAGTATGTGTGTATGCATGTGATCCTGGGAGATCAATTTTTGTGTGGCACCTACTGTATAAAAAAGGCTTTAGACTTGTTAATAGAAAGAATAAATTGGTAGAATTTGCAAGAACTTTTTCTTGTTGTTTGATTATGAGACAGGGATCTCATGTATATCAGACTAGCCATGAGTTTGCTATAAACTTTAATAAAAATATATTTACTTAGTCAATGTGTGTGTATATATCTAATGTTTGTACACCACATGCATACAGGAGACCACAGAAGTCAGAAGGGGACACCAGATTCCCAGGAACTGGAGTTACAGCTATGAGACTCCGTGTAGACGGTGGAATCAAACTTAGGTCATCTGCAAGAGCATAAGTACACTTAAACCACTGAGTCATCTCTCTAGCCTTTGTTCCTCCTACTTCCTGAGTACTGGGATGATGGCTGAATCTAGGGCTTTGTGCATGTAAGTAAGCACAAACCCACTAACCTACAACCTCAAACTCTCACTGTATTTTTTACTTATTGACTCACTTCTTGATTTTTTCCAGAAAAATACTCTAGAGATACAAGAAAGGATTAGGCATGACCCAGTTGCAGGAAGTGTGTCACTGGGGGTGGGCTTTGACATTTCAAAAGCCCACACCAAGCCCAGTCAGACTCTCTCTAAGAGTTGCCCTGGTCATGGTGTCCTTCACAACAACAGAACAATGACTAAGCTATCCCCCTTTAAAAAAAAAAAAAAATTAAGTTTCTGTTAGGAAAGCAATCTTTTTTGCTGGATACAGTGACACATGCCTGTATTCCCAAGTATTCAGAGACTGACAGAGACAGGTAACTTGAGCTTAGACTGAGTACCAATGTGACTCTAGCTCAAATAAACAAACCTTTTTGAAAACACAACAGAAATTATTTCTGCTCTTGCCCAATGGAAGACATTTATGCTCCATAAAATAAAGAACTGATTTGAAAGGCATTTAACTGAGAACATCCACATGAATGTAATCTGATTTTCTGTGCAACATGTACATCTGTGAATATGCATTTAGTTCTCACTGTATTATACAGAGTTAAAGGGAACCTGCTCATATTTGTTATTGGAACTTACATAATCCTCTAAATGCTGAAGATTATTGCCTTTCCACATTCTAGCCTGTTATGTAAACTGTTGTCCTATGATAATGCTGTGGTTAGCAGTGACGTTTCTAAGTCATTAAATAACCAGATTGTTTAGGTTGTCCTCAAAGTTGTCAGACATTTCCTAAAAGACAGTATTTTTTAAGGACTTTTTAAAATCATGTGACAGAGAGAGGGATAAGAAAGAGAGAGTGTGTGTAGATATGTACATTTGAGTGTAGATGCCTGCAGAGAAGGAGGTATTGGATCCTTTGTGGCTGCAGTCACAGGCAGTTATGAGCAGACCTATATAGTTGCTGGGAATTGGACTTGGATTCTCTCTAAGAGCAGTACCCACTTTAGCCACTGTGCCATCTTTTTAGCACCCTGAAAGGCAGTATTGTATGTAATATTCTTGGTGTTACAAAAAAGGGTCCTTAAAAATAAATACAGAGTCATTGCAATGGTTCAACAGGTAACACATTTCCTACACAAGCCTGATGGCCTGAATTTGGTCCATACAGCTTACATAAATGAAGCCAAGCACCCACTCCACAGGTCCTGTGACCTCCACATGTCTGCTGTGACGCCCATGCTTCCAATTACATACATCATATACACACAATAAACTTTTAGAAATAAGTACATCTATGATTCAACTATAAGCTAAACAACACAGATGACAGCAAACAGTATCTACCACGCCATCATTTGAGTCACTGACAGTTTTAAGAATATACTCAAAATAGCAAATAAGTGATATATCTTGCTATATTATAACATGAAAAATATTCAAATGGAAGTTTTACATGATGAAAATGGAAGAAATGGCATTAGACAAATATTATGTATAATCAAAAATAAAACTTGTACATTTAAGAATGCCATATTAAGCACAGCAAAAATGAGTTATAGTAACATAGCAGCAGGAATACAGGTGATTAAGTACCTTGTATGAGTCCCCAGCACCTCAAAAACAAAAAAGTTTAACTTGATGATTTCATAAACCAAAAGACAACATGCATTATATAACAGACCATACTTTCAATCACCTGAAGCCTTACCCGTTTTATTGTCAAAAAACTTGATGTGTCTATCTTCATGAGCAGTTATTGTAACAGGAAGTGTAGGATGACTTACTACTCTGTTAATATGACAGCTAGATTGTAAACCTGAAAAATAAACAAATAGAGTATTTAAACTACGAACCATCTAGGTTGAGCCTACATTAACAGCTCAGTGTTCCAGACTATGTCAGGACCTGGGGTGGACCACAAAGAAATGATATATAATCACTATAACATAAATTATTTTCATGTTCAGCCAGCATGAAAATTAGCTAAAGACAACCTCATTCATGCAATAACCTTTTAAAAGAAATTTCAAAGAAATCCATGAAAACTTACCAGAATCTACCTGTGAGGAAAGCATCACCAATGACTGTGATGTTTCTAAATCATAAATTACCGCACTACCAGTGTTAAAAGAAGTCACCATATGAGCTGGATCACAGCCTATAAAGTCAACTGATGTAGGTATTCCATGTTCTGTAAGGAAATCAAAATATATTTATATGTATTTATCTGTACACAACCATACACAAAACTTTAAAGTTGTATCAATAATGAAAAAGAAAGCAATGTGTTAGGGTGGTAAAAAACACTCCTCAGTTATTTAAAAGTTTTTACTTATAATATTCTATTTTACATTATAAAAAATTTTAACCAAAGACACATAAAAACAATTAGTCTAACATAGCAAAACCCCTATTTTGCTAAGCATTTTCTTTTAAAGTAGAGAAAAACACCTGTTCATTTAAACTGCCAATTTTCTTAGAGAAAATGAAAACAAAGCAAAAATGAAATAAACAAACAAACCCAAATCTGGAATTCTCCTACAATATTCTCTTGGAAGACTCATTCTAAATAGTAAGCCTTGCCAAAAACTGGATCTATAAAAATGAAGAATGCCTTTAATCCTAGCAATATAGAGGCAGAGACAGGAGGGTCTCTGCATTTCAGGCCAGCCAGTACCACACAGTGAGACCCCCTCTCTCAAAAACAAGCAAAACAAAACAAAACCTTGGACTGTGAAATGTACTGGTATAATAGTATCTCAAAATGGAACATGCATCAATTCTCTTCCTTAACACATTAAATTCAAATACAACTAGGTAAAATCTGGAGTCTAGTAATTAAAATTCTAGATGAAGTAAGAAAGAAGTATCTAGCCAGGCAGTGGTGGTGCACGCCTTTGATCCCAGCACTAGAGAGGCAGAGGCAGGTGGATCTCTGTGAGTTCAAGGCCAGCCTGGTCTACAGAGTGAGTTCCAGGACAGCCTCCAAAGCTACAAAGAGAAACCCTGTCTCGAAAAACCAAAAAGATAAAGGAAAAAAAAGGAGAGGTGGGGGTGCCCACAAGTTTCTAATTTTCATGTATTAAAGTCTGGGTATCTGAAATATCATAGAATCCCAAAATACAAGCAAACAAATAAATAAATGATAAACAATATTAAACATATACTACACACTTAAGATGTCTTAAAACAATGTGTGTGTGTCTCCCCAAATCAAAGGTCTGATACAAAACTGTAATTTGAAAAACTCAGACTATAAGACCAATAGTATTATAAAGGTAAGCACAAACATCTTCAAAAAACTAAAGTTGGTTAAATCCTTCCATAATAAAAGATTTACAGGGTAACAAGGTGGCTCAGCAGGTAAGGGTGCTTGCAGTCAAACCTGACTGACAATCTGAGTTTACGCCTCAAGACCCACACAAGGTAGCATAGAGCAGATTCCCTCACGTTGTACTCTGTTCTTCACATAAAACAAATAAAAGCAATCCCACTTGTTCTTTTCACTATGGGTGTTGTAATGACTGTGGCTGCCCCATCCCACCCTCAACACAGTCACGGAACTTGTGGATTTCAGGCAGGTATATTTAAGACTATGATCTTAGAGACAGGAGAGAAGCCCTAGTCCTACTTCACATGACCTGTCAGATCTACATGACCCCAACTGGATGGCATTCCCCTACATATGGAATTGGGGTGGGGGGATGGGAGGGAGAGGGTGTTTAGAGTGCATGTGAGAGGGCAGAGAGGGTAAAAGGGAGGGAAGGAGGGAAGGGAGGAGGGAGGGAGGGAGGGAGGGGAAACTGGGATCGCCATGTAAAATAATAAATTAAAAAAAAAAAAATGCTCTGACTCAAAAATTTAAGTCCAAGGACAAGTTACTGGGGAAAAGGATTTCTATTTTTGTTTCCACAGAAAATGAAAAGCTGTGGATTCCTTCCAGACTAATGTGGTTTGATCAAGCCAGACCGCTTGAAACAGAGTACCAAGTGATCCTACATTCAAAACAGCTGGACAAAGCAGCCTTGCAGACTACAGCCAGGATTTCTGCATCATCTTAATCCCCTATGACAGTGCCCCTTACCAGCAGGAAGTAGTTTGGAAAGAATGACGCCCAAATTCCCAAATATTGTCAATAAATGTTTGTTTTCATTTAAATGGACTTGGTCCATTTAAAGTCCATTAAAAAGACTATGATCCTAGCAGTGGTGACACAGGCCTTTAGTCCCAGCAGCACTTGGGAGGCAGAGGCAAGCAGATCTCTGTGAGTTCGAGACCAGCTTGGTCTACAAGAGCTAGTTTCCAGATGGCCTCCAAAGCCACAGAGAAACTCTGTCTTGAAAAACAAAAACAAAAAAATAAATAAAAAGACAATGATCCCATCAATCCTTAAGGGTAGCTGTCTTTGTCTCCTGAAAGCAGTACCATTTGACTACTTTACTGTTATATGCAAATATGTTTATTTTTAAAACACAACACGATCTGAAAAAAGTCCAGAAAGTACTGAGCTTCGTTGGCATCACAAAGCACTTCCAGTAAAACAGGATTAAGTAAAACAGCATGGTAAGATTTATAAAACTCTTTAAACAATTCTCTTTGAATCAATAAAAAAAATAATTGCTTTATCCTTTTAAATAATTGTTCTTGGGAAAGCCCCTTGTCACTGGGCTAAGAACCTGAGTTCCAATCCTTATGATACACATGGAGAGAACAGATCCCTGCCAGTAGTACTCTAATCATCTTCCACCTGTCAGGTATGTCAGGTATATGCGCTCGAGCATATATACACATATGTGCAAAAGTAAAATACAAAATAATATATATACATGTGTATGTATATATACAAAAATAAAACAAACTCTTTGGGCATAACAGTTAAGAGTGCTTGCTACTCAGATTTTTGTTCCCAGAACCTGTCAGGTAGCTCACAACTGCCTGTATGTAAGTCCTAAAGTTCTGTCTAGCTTCTATGACCATCTGAAATTATGTGCACATATACAAGACACATAAATATGTCATAAAGCTTTAAAAAACATACAGATGATAAAGGGGATGAAGGAGAAATCAGAGAAACACCATCTTTTACAACAGCCACAAATATCACAAAATATCTTGGGGTAACTCTAACCAAACAAGTGAAAGGCCTGTATGACAAGTGCTTCAAGACACTGAAAAAGAAATTAAAGAAGACAGCAGAAAATGGAAAGATCTCCCATACTCTTGGATAGGTAGAATCAACATATTAAAAAATGGCAATCCTACCAAAAGTAATCTACAGAGTCAATGCAATCCCCATCAAAATCCCAGCACAATTCTTCACAGACCTGTTAAGAACAATATTCAACTTCATATGGAAAAACAAAAAACCAGGATAGCCAAAACAATCCTGTACAATAAAGGATAGTCTGGGGAGCATTACCATTCTTGACTCCAAGATCTACTATAGCACTATAGTATTGGCATAAAACAGACAGGTGGACCAATGGAATCGAATGGAAGAACCTGATATCAACCCACACACTTTTGATTACCTGATTTTTTACAAAGAACCTAAAACTATAAAATGAAAAGAAAGCATCTTCAACAAATGGTGGTGGTATAACTGGCTGCTGACATGTGGAAGAATGCAAATAGATCCATATCTATCACCATGCACAAAACTCAAATCAAAATGGATCAAAGCCCTTAATATAAATCCATCCACACTGAACCTCACAGAAGAGAGAATGGGAAATACATTTGCATGCACAGGAGATCGCTTCCTAAATAAAACACCAGTAGCACAGACACTCTGAGAGCAACAATTAATAAATGGAACCTTCTGAAACTGAGAAGCTTCTGTAAAGCAAAGAACACACTCAAAAAAACAGAAAGACTGCCTACAGAATGGGAAAAGATCTTTACCAAGCCCACATCTGACAAAGAGCTGATCTCCAAAAAATACAAAGAACTCAAGGAACTAGATATCCAACTACCAAATAATCCAATTAAAAAGTGGGGTACAGATCTAAACAGAATTCTCCACAGAACAATCTTAAATGGCGGAAAGGCCCTTAAAGAAATGCTCAACTATAACATCCTTAGTCATCAGGGAAATCAAATCAAAATGACTCTGAGATACCATCTTACACTGATCAGAATGGCTAAGATCAAAACACTGATGACACCTTATGCTAGAGAGATGTGGAGAAAGGGGAACACTCTCCATTACTGGTGGGAGTCCAAACTTGTGCAGCCACTGTGGAAATCAGCATGGTGATTTTTCAGAAAATTAGGGATCAACCTTCCTCAAGGCCCTGCAATACCACTTTTGGGCATATACCAAAGGAGGTACAGTCACACCACAAAGACATTTGCTCAACTATGTTCATAGCAACATTATTCATAATAGCCAGGATTTGGAAACAACCTAGATGTCCCTCAAGTGAAGAATGGATAAAGAAATTGTGGTACATTTACACAATGAAGTTCTTACTCAGTGGTCAGAAACAATGACATCCTAAAATTTACAGGCAAATGGACAAAACTAGAAAAAGATCATCCTGAGTGAGGTAATCCAGACCCAGAAGGACAAATATAGTATATACTCACTCATAAGTGGATGCCAGACATAACACAAAAGATACCCAGCCTACAATCCATAACCACAGAGAAGCTAGAACCTTCTTCGAGAAACAGGTGGAACCAGATACAGAAATCCACAATTAACCATTGGACCAAGCTCCTGGAGTAAAATCAAAGTGAGGGGGGAGTGATAATATGAGCATTATGGGGAAACCCACAGAATCAGGGGATCAGAGCCAGTGAGAGATCACTGACTCTGGTCTGACAAATGGGAAACCTGTGTAAGATGTAACTAGACTCCCTTAATGTATGTGACAATGGTGTGGCAGATCTAACACTAATGTAAAAACTGACTTAGTGGGATCCATTCTATATGGAGAGACACCCTGCTCTCTGGAGTGTGGGGGGTGGAGAGGTGCCTTGGTCCTGCCTCAAGGAGATGAGGAGACAGACTTAGTAGACTTCCTAGGGGAAACCTTACCTTCTCCAATGAGCAGATGGGAGGTGGGGGAAATGGGAGGAGAAAAAGGAGGGGGAACTGGAATTGGAATGTAAAAAATAAAGAAAAGAAAAGCAACCACTGATCTTGAAGAAGCAAATTTGACTTACCCTTGTCTCCATTGTAAGTGCAAATACATGGCAATTTTTCTTGTGGATTCCATAACCTAATAGTGCCATCTGCTGAACAAGACAGTAACTGATTTTTTATGCCACTATAGGCAAGACCCCAGACTGCATCTGTGTGAGCAACTAAAGTGCCAGCTAGAACATTTGACTCTGTGAAGAAACAAACAAAACATTAATTGGAAGAAGTTTGGCAAATGATAGATAACTTACAATATAATTAAATAAAAAAAAAATGTATGTAAAGCTAGGCATGATAGTGCATGCCTTTTATAACAGCACCTGGGAAGAAAGTCACTATATGTTGTAAGCCAGCTTGGTCTACATAGAGTCCAAGGCCAACCAGGGATATTTAATAGACCCTATCTAAAAGAAAAAAGAAAAAAAAAGAAAAAAAGAAAAAAAAAAACCTCAAGAAGACAAATCAAGCACAGATAGTGAATACTTCTAAGTACTGAATTATAGATGATTGTGTTTTTATTTATAGCAATACTATTCATATATTCACAATTTCTATTATATATATTGTATATATTTTATAGATATATATCCAGCCACACTGAGGTATAATTTACATAATTATACTACTCATTTAAATGGCATGGCAATGATGTGCCCATCTAATTGCAAATCCCACTGTGCTTTCAGGATACTTTATATACTTTGGTTTTTGAAAAATGGTTTATCTGTGTAGCCCTGGCTAGCCTGGAATCTACTTGGTAGACCAGGCTTGTCTTGAACTCAGGGATCTATTTGCCTCTGCCTCCCAAGTGCTGAGATGAAGGGTATGCACCACCCAACAATTTCCCGATACTTTGATTTATTTGTTAGACACTTTCCTTCCAACTTTACTTTTCTAATCCAGTAGGCTTGTGTGAATAGGTCTATTTTCTGAATATGTTGCATGAACAGAATCCCACAGAAATGTCTTTTGTGTCCAGTTTCTTATCTTTACAGGCATCCTCTCTGTAGCACCTATCAGTACTTCATTTCTTTTTATTGACAAATAACATTTTGGTGTTATAACATCTTATTTGATCATTCATCAACTAACTGGAGATCTGAGGCCAAATTAGGTCATCCTCTATTTCCAGTAACTCATCTTATTTATAATTATCTCCTTTCATCCTCATAGTTTCTAACTTTTCTTTACTGTAAATGAGTATGACTTACAATATACCGAGAAAACACAGCATTCAAAAGGAACCCCTCTTGCATCCTGTACCCAATTTCAAAAATGTCAAAACCCATGTTCCTGCTTCCACAGCACTTGCCACGAGGAACCTAGTAATGGGGACCCCCTAGAAACAGTGTCTAACCTCCACAGGTGTACTACATGTACACATGGATCATATACACAAACACAGATATGCACACACACACATATATAAATAAACTTAAGCCTATTTGTTTCTAGGCACAACTAAAAAGTTGTCCTTACTATTAAGGGTGAAACCTACCAGGTGCATTCTAAAACTCAACCAAACTCACTTTCTTGCTTTCATATTTTCTACTGACAAATTCTTTGCCTTGGAATCATTAAGACAACAAGTTAAAATTTTAAAAAAGAAGCATGTGCTATACAGACTCTTTCATTCTAAACCATAGAAACATTATCCTCTTTATGACCACCTTTTGTAAAACTGCTGAAAAGTAAATTATCTTTCATCTCCTATATACTCTTCAAATCACTCTGTTACCACACTAAAACAACTCATGCCAAAATCAGTAGTGCTTTCCTTTCGTAATACAAAACATTTATTCTTTCTGACTTCAGTATTGCTTTTCATTCATAAAATCTGACTTGAAATTAAATACCAGACCCTTCAGGGGTCAATGCTCTAGCATCTAACCTCCAGCTATCTGTCTAAGATCCCTGCACCCTACAGGTAGCACTTGCAGCTTGCTTCCTTCTCAGAATGACTTTCCTCTTTGAGCATGCATCCATGAATCCATTCTCCTCATGTCCTCCTTCTTCCAGCCAATGTCAGGTCTAGTGAAGACTTAAGTCTCAGGGAATCATCTCTTGATTATATTCATTCCTTCATATGTATCCATATCTTAATATTCTTATTCATTCTCTCTCATACTCTATCCATATTCCAGTGGGTGAAACTGTCTACACAGTGAGTTGCAATGTCAGAACCCTAGATTAGTGATGAAAATGTTTTGAAATTACAAAGTGGTGATGTCTGAACAATCCTGAGCACACAGTAAAAACTACCAAATTAATACCTTAAAACAAACCAATTTTAGTTGGATGGTGGTAGCACACACCTTTATTCCCAGAAGTCTTGGGAGGCAAAGGCAGGCAGATTTCTTTGAGTTTGAGGCCTGGTCTATCTACAAAGCTAGTTCCAGGACAGCCAGGACAGTTACAGAAAACCCCTATCTCGGAAAAACAAAAAAGCAAAAACTTTTTATCTGTGTGCCTTGTTTACATGTATACATGCATTTCATGTAGTTGGTAGCCATGGGGGTCCTAAAAGGCTACTGGGTCCCCTAGAACATAGGTTATATTCTAGGATTCATTACTGTGGTTCATTAAAAGGGTCCTGAACATTGAGCAACAACAACAAATGTGTTTAACTCCTGAGCAAGTCACCTCTGCAACACTAATCCTACTTAGTTCTTAACCATTCTGTCATCATAATTCTAATCTGAGCAATGTCACCTCTCTTTCCTGGATAACTCCTCATTTTTTCCTGTCACTGCAGCTGCCATCAATCCCTTTCAAGCATCTTTGGGCTTAGAACTTTTTCTATTTTACCCTTTAACTTTTTTATTGTCATTTAGCCCTTGCTTTTTTCACATTCATCTTCTTTCTTTGAAAAAAGTACTCACATTACACCTTACATTATGGAATGTGAACACCAAGTGTATGTTAGCCAAAAACAACTGAGAGCTCAAACATTTGTTTGGTTTCTTTTATCTTCCTTCCTTCCTTTTCTTTCTTTCTTTTTTTGTTTATTAATAATCATGAACAATGCCCACTTAATGTATTTGAACATGTTAAGTTACTTTTTAAATCAAGAATAAGTTCCTCAAAGTGCCATTTATAAAAAACAAAGTTTTGTTTTGCTTTTCATTTTGAATTAAAGAATTTTTTGGCCCTCCATAAAGTTCTAATGAATTAAACACTGACCATCCTATCTATATTATTTATTATCTTTCACTTAATATAAGGATTATAATACTATCTCTTGAGCTTAAAAATATGTTACTTCAGGTTGCGGCTGAGCTTGTGTGCGGCGGCGGCGGTGTTAGCGGCGGCTGCGGCGGTGTTAGCAGCGGCTGCAGCAAAGTGTTCGGCGCGATGTCTCACACCATTTTGCTGGTACAGCCTACGAAGAGGCCAGAAGAGGACCTACGCTGACTATGAATCTGTGAATGAGTGCATGGAAGGTGTTTGTAAAATGTATGAAGAACACCTGAAGAGAATGAATCCCAACAGCCCCTCCATCATATATGATATCAGCCAGTTGTTTGATTTTATTGACGATCTGGCAGACCTCAGCTGTCTTGTGTACCGAGCTGATACACAGACATATCAGCCTTATAACAAAGACTGGATCAAAGAGAAGATCTACGTGCTCCTTTGTCAACAGGCACAAAAGGCTGGGAAGTAATTGAGTTGGAAGCATTAGGGGCTAGGGTTGGGCTTGAAACAGGTGCATACAGCGTACTGTAGTGAACATTTTGTATGATAGTAATCCTGTTTCCATTTTGTTACTAGAGCCAAGATTGAATGTATGACATGAAACGTGAATGAACTTTTCATTCTGAAACCACCATTGCCCCTTTGCTCATTTTCTTTTTTTTTACTTAAAACATTTTTATGATAAAAAAAATATGTTACTTCAATAATTTCCCCCTCTTTCTGTTATCTGAAATTAACATTTAAGAAATATGTTTCAGAAATAATGAAGTACTAATTCAAGCACTAAAAAATTCATGGCATATTTTTCTCTCTCTCTTTTTAAAAACTATTTATTTATTTATTTATTTATTTAATATGCATTGGTGTTTTGCCTGCATGTATGCCTGTGTGAGGGTGTTAAGATACTCTGAAACTAGAATTACAGAAAATTGTGCCATTGTGGAAACTGGGAATTGAACCTGGGTCTTCTGGAAAAGTAGCCAGTGCTCCTGACCCCTGAGCCATCTCTTCAGCCCCAATATTTGTCTTTTTAATAAAGAAACTTTCTAGCAAGTGGAATTAAATGAACAAACTGTATGTTTAAGCAACTTTCTAATAACATCTGATCTACAGAATTCTGTCAGCTCTATTCACTGAAAAGATCCATTGTGCCCCTTTACTCACCATATGTATCATAGGGATCCACGTTAGGACTAGGCATATTCCACCACTGAATGGTTGCATCAATACCACCACTAAAACACTGCTCTCCATTAGAACTAATAGCTAATGAAAGAACAGGGCCACTGTTATAAAAAGAGAAGAAAAATTAGTTACAAATTCCAAGAAGAAACTCAAACCCCACATCCCTCAATCTATTTATTTATGTGGTATCTAAATGCAGTTTTAGATAAAAATGTACAACTGAAAAGTACTATTAGATAATATTTGAATATAATTAATCAAACAAGGTATTATTCAACTAATATATCTTCTTTAGCACCAAATATTGAGAAAATTCGGTTTGGAGACCCTTAACTACAAAGATTAACTGTAGTTGCTCATTAAGTACTATTTCAAAAAAAACTTACATGTGGGCCCTAAATGTGTAGATAGGTTCTACATCTAAAGAGGCACTCCTAAAAGGGAAAAAGGGGTGGGGGAAAGGGAGAGAACACATTAAGTCATCATGAATCACCCGCTGATAATACAGATGTACTAAAGACACAGGAATAGTAAAGAAGAGTAATTATCCATACAAGCAAAATTAAAAGAAAAAAAAGTCAATATTAAAATACTTGCTTTTTGGCAGGAACTGTCTTTTGCAAATTCCAAAGTTTCAGGGTGTGGTCCTCAGAGGCAGTAACCAGCACAGGTTCTACAGGATGAAAAGCTAATGCTCTCACTCCATCAAAATGACTACGTAGTGTATACTTGGGGTTCCAAGTCTTTCGAAAGGCATCTTTATTGGCCGGCAACTAAAATGAAAAAGTTGCACTATTTACAGGTAAAAGTAATGAACTGGCAGGCATGTGGACTTTTTAAGTTTTCTTTTTGGTGTGTTTAAAACATATAAAACTGTTCCACTAAAATATCCAGGGGCTGTTTTAATGACCTTAAAAGTTTCACAGCAAGTCTATCTTTTTATATAAGAATTCAAAAAAACAATTTGTTAGACTTTCAAATACCCAGATAGAAGAGTTCCTTTATCATCTGTTTTCACCTAATCATAAAAAAAAAAAAAAGAAAAAAGAAAAAGAAAAAGAAACTCCTATCAAATCAAATGTCAGATGAGACAGATGAGAACAGAAAACTGCCACTGCCGTAATAATTTACACAAAACCAAAGCAGGGATACAAACATTACCAAATACTCAAGGGTACAGTAAACACAATAGCTTCCATTTAGGAAACTGACAAGTACATGAACAATTCTACGCAGAAAGTTAAGGGACTTTTAAAACAATGAACTAAAAACTCCTTAATATTTTCCTCTGTCTTTCTTTTCTTTTTTGAAAATTTCCTTCAAAGATAAGAGTTTCATGTTGCCCTTACTGGCCTTGAGCTCACATGTAATTATCCCTAACTTCCAATCCTTCTGGCCCCGTCTCTCAAATGCTAGGACTACAGGAATGAGCTACTTTGCCTAAGATTATGTGGTGCTAGGGATCAAACCTAGAGCTTTGAGCAAGCTACGTAAGCACTTTTCCTAATCCTTCATAGTAATACAGCCCAATTCTTTTCACCTTTATTTCTATATCAGTAAAGACAGGCTGTTAAACCAGTTCTAAAGCAGTTAAAAGTTTACTCAATTTAGTTGCAAAAATGCTTTAAAAATTATTAGTAAGAATAGCCAAGCACATAAGGCAATTATCTTAAAAAAAAAAAAAATCCTATCTTAGGTCTAAATTTCTTTTAATGTTAAAAAAAAGAAATTTGCTGAAAAACTAAAGTGAATGCAAAAAAAAAAAATTCTAAAATATGGTTAACTCTCAATTGAGAGTTTATGCTTGGAAAAATATTTACTCAACAACTGTCTAATACAAACACAGTTCTTCCCACCTCCTTTTTCTAGCCCTCAAAGTGAAGCTAAACATTAAGGAAATGATATAAGCTAATTTTGTTGTGACTGACAAAATAAAAGCTCAAAACCAAAACATGGCTATTAAAACTTATCCTGATGGCGAAAACCTGATTTCTATAGTACTCATTTTGTTAACACCAAATATGGCTTTAACTTAGTATGAGTTAACTACTCAAGATGTATCTATCAACCAATATTTTAAGGTAATAACCAACTCTTACCTAATCCACCAAAATTCCTAAGAAAGATTTATACACCACAAAGAAAAAAACTTAAAGCAAAATTACATGTTATTTCAATCAACACATCAACACACTTAAACTTATGTTTTCCATGCACCTTGACATTAATTCTGTTATAAATGATTCCAAAGAATAAGGAGCCTTCTATTAAATCATTAAAAAATTAAAAATAAAACTGCACTTACATCATAACTATAGTCTGCATCATTTGTTACCGTCAAGTCTGCAAGGTCTCCAAGGCCCAGTACACTTAACAAAACATCATCAGAACCCATAATAAATGACTTGCCTCCTCCAGATGGAAACGTTATTGGTTCAGCTATAAAGAACAAAACCGCTTCTTAAATGCTGAAAAATCATACAGTACAATACAATATTGTGGGGGAACTTAAGCACGAAACAGTTACAAAAATCAGCAATATTATGAATTCTACTTCCCACTTCCACACACAAAAAAAAATCGTATTACTGAGTAGAAACAAACAGATGTCCTGAAACTACAATGTAGTATCTATCTTTCACAGATTCAATAAACACTGTATAATTATCTAAGGGTGGAAGCAGAACACAAAAATCTTGTCTATTTAGATCCCTTACCATCTTGGTAAATTTTAACAGGATAACTTTTGATGAAATAATCAGATTTCAGCCACTTATGGGGAACAGATGTCTACCAACCTTAGAGTAGCTCATATAGCAGTTTTTTGTTTTGTTTTTTAAGTCAGTAAGTTACTACAGACACTTTGATATACAAGCCTATCAGTTAGTGCCAGAGATGGGCTAGGGAAAGATGGCTTATCCTAATAATGACCGTGTCCTCAAAGGATTGCTTTCCAACCTTAAAACTCTCACTATGGCTTTATTTTAATGCCCTCTTTTATAAATTATGATGTTGCTAAAGTTAAAAAAAAAAACTAATTTTTTTAGGTTTCAGAGCAGAATGGGTACTTCAATATCAATAAAAACTGAAAGGAAAGCTTCCTTTACTTAGTCATCTTATCTGTGCCTTGTGCATTATTACAACTTTCTACATTGATACTGCAGTGCAAATTAAAGTGCAATCATTTGAATGACTATAACAAGATAGTTAAAAGTGTAAGCAGTAATTCAATATAATTTTAAGCATGTGCTTTGCAATCAAAATAGTAACATTAAATTGGCAAAAAGGGCACACTACTTACAAAATAACCTAAATATTTAAAATCATGAACCAATTTTTTTAAAATTATTAAAACAAAATCAAGACTATTATAAAAACTACTTACAAAAGGCATATTATTTAACACACTACAAGAAACAAGTATACTGAAATATAATAATAATAATTCACTAATAATACCAAAATTAATTCATACAATTCATATGTACTATTACCAAAGTAAAATTCATTTTTAATTTAGAATTTTTCTTTATTTTAGTCTGTAATTTGACTCAAGAGGTCCCTTAAATAAGGTGTAATTCAGCAACTAATTTGAAAACACTTCATAAAATATATACAATGTGTGAGATGTTAAGTATCATTATTATTGACTATGATTATTAAGCCATCATTCAATGGTTATATTTGAATCTGAACAGTATATAGTCCTGATCTCTCCTATCAATTTAGAACATAGTTACTGATAATACAAGAAGCAGCTAAAAACTAAAGTTCAAGAATTACATGAAAGTCAGTAAATTTTACTTTATAGTTTTTACCATTCTAAAAAGTTTATTAATTTTATAATTTGTTTCTAAGACAATTTAAGACAAAATGCTACGATTCCTTCCACTAGCAACCACTCAAACTTAAAAGTTCAATAAAATAGCTTTATCATCACCAACCAACTCATTTTTTACAAATACTTTTTATGGGATTATTTCTGATCAACCATTGACCAACTTCAGGGTATAAAAAGAGAAGTAGCTCGACTACTTTAGCTGGCTTATTTATTATCCAAATGTGTGTGTGTGTGTGTGTGTGTGTGTGTGTGTGTGTACTTATTTACAAAATTAATCACATATGCTACATTTCTGTGCCTTTTCTCTATAAATGTATCTTGCAAGTTATACTACTCTTTTCATGCTCATTTACATATGTATATATGCATAAAATCTTTTAAGCTATTATTTCTGCTTTCCCTATGACCCATAATTGCACCATATAGTAATCACAGTAAATCTTCAACTTTTTTTGCTATCATATCTCTTCTTAAAGAATTAATGCCTATTTTACAGATCATTGTTAATATATATTATCCATAGCAGTACACAGCATAAAATATAATCAACAATTTAAAATAAAATTATTAAATGAATTTAAAAAAAATTTAGACAGGGTCTTTTTATATAGTCCCGGCCATCCTGGAACTTGTTATGTAAGTCAGGCTGGCCTCTAATTCACCAAGATCCTCTTGCCTCTACTTCCCAAGTGCTGGAATCAAAGGTATGAATTTTATTTTAATGATAGAAATTTTTATTAAACAGAACTGTCTTTTGTAAGACTGCTAGGGGTTATAAAATAGAATTTTTCCAGAAGGTCCTTTTCTAAAGTCCTGTAATAAATTCTCCTTTGATAGACAGCATGACCAAGGAAACCTGTAACTCATATATCAAAGCCTTCCTTTTACTTTTACTTCCAGAGAGTATACATGTGTATGTGTTCTACACTGTTGTACCCAGGGCATGGCACATGATTAAACAAGCTCTCTCTCTGATGCTGAGATACATCCCAGCCCCCTTTCTCTAATTTTGACAACCTAAAGAACATATAGATCAATGATTAATTCAATTATGCCAGTGGAAATATGAAATATAATCTTGGTTTTAGTAACAATAGTTTTTAAAAGTTGTTGGCACTAGAAAAAGTTATGTATTTTTATAAATTGAAATGTAACATGAAAATTTTCCAAAAGCACCAAAACTCAAGTTGTCATCAAAATAGACTATAAACTAGATCATAGTTTTCCAATCTTCAAATGACAAATTTTAGTAAGAGCCACTCTTTTAAAACATAATGGAGTTCAATGTGCCCATTCACCCTCCCATGCCACTATGAAAGAGATTAGCAACTTACTTTCTCTTTAAAAAACACAGTCACACACTTGACAAACACACAGAGAGCGCTCTAAATCCCTTTTAGGTAGAGTCAACCTACTGGCTTTTCCCTTAAGTTGGGTTGAAACATTTAAAAGGATTCACATTACTAATATGACTTTACCTTAAACTGAAAAATCTGCAATCTAAAATATAAGTAGCAAAAATGTCTGTAAACTACTACATTACTTAGAAAAATAAAAATAAGAGAGCTGATATCTATATTTTAGAGAAGAATACAAGAAAATAGCTTGGTGGAAATGAGTATAGAAATTAAAAAAAAAAAATCAAGATATTTTAATTCACATTCTTTTTTGTTAGTTTTATTAAGTGATTTAAGTCTTTCCTTAAAATTCTATGAAAAAGAAAAAAACAACAGTAAGAAGACATAAATTGAGGAGAAATGATAAATTGTTCAACTTTGCTGTAGGAATGTCTAGAAAAAAAGTAGAACAAAGGTATAAAAGAATTTAAGATGGGCAAATAAATCCCCTTATAGAGCAAGAAGTGTAAGCATAAACAAAAATAAATGCATATAAAATTACTAATGTACTACATATACATTGTATTAAAGTAATTTGGGTTAAAATTTGTATCATTTAGAAGTATATCTTCACCTAGAATTATAAATTAGTCCATGCATCTTTAGATAAATTTCAAAATGCTTAAAGCAGCATTTTTAATTCCTACATAGTTCTGGTTTAGATAGATTGTAGAAAATTTATTACTAGGTCATGAATTCTTGACACAAAGTTAAAGAATGATGTTCCCTTATCCTAAAATGATTAACAGTTACTCTTAGCATTCCTATTAAATGGCAGTTATTAACTGTTGCTACATTTAAACCACACTACTAAGAATTCATTTCCCCTAACTTTCATTCCTTTATTATTTAAAGTTTATTTTTAGAAATTGTTCTTTTCCTAATACTAGATTTGTAAGCTATAGTTAGATTTAAGGAAGGCACTCTGGAAACAGCTGCATCTAACATGAAAACAAATATAAAGAACTAGAAGACATGTTTCACCCCTGAGCAATTATACCAAGAGCTTGCCCAACAGCTCTAATGATCATGTGGGATGATCTTTCGCATTTTATACAATGGCATATTTGCAGTATCAAGAGGTGATCTGGAGTTAAAGGAACTCAGCAGCAAAACAAACAAACACAATAGCTAAATGTTGTACCTTCCTCTGCTCTTGCACCTTCATGATCAGTCATTCTAGGAGAGGCTGACCTAGACTGATTAATGATTCCTGAAGGGATGTGAGGCAGCTCATCATCTCCCAGATCAGCTATCATGTCGCAGAGTTTTGTCCTGTTGACCCCTGTAAATTAATGTCAGCAGTAGAGGTTCATTTAATAGCTACCGCTTGACTTGATGGCAGTCTTAGTAAACCAACTTACTAAACAAAACAGGCTAATAAAAAGCATCATGTTATATATCATTTTCCAAAATACACTAAAAACTTTTAAATATGTTGAATACTAACTATTTTGCAGCTCTTTGTGGACACAGGATAGAATATAAACACTGTATTTGAAACATACTGTGGAGGGGGGAGAGAAAAAGGAAATTTCTATTACTCAATTTGGAGTCTATAAACTCAGCTATTACAACAATGCAAATTATTGGTATTTAAAACAGATATTTACTAGTACATAAAATAAAAAATGGGCTTTTCAACTTAATTCATTGTTTTAAAAAGTCAAAGAAATACAAACGAAATGACTTTTATGAGGGTGCAACGAACAATTAACTTTCCCTGCTGTTTTTAATGAGTATCTTCCCACCATATTAGTAGACAATTTATCCCAATTTGAAGTTTCTGAAGTGTAGTGGTTATCACGCTTGCTTGCCTCACAAAATTTATCCTAATTTGTTAAATTTGTTTCTTAGAATTGTTTGCATCAAATTTACTTTTCCAAATTTGGAAACGGATTTATCCATAAATTCTTTGAATTTCTTGGAATGACAGAAAAAGTCAACACCGTCATAGACCATAAATTCAAAAGTTTAATTATAATTACTGCATAGGTAATTTCAACAGAAATCAAAAGGTTTAGCAGTTATGGGACACTCTTTTATATTTTTGGTTGTGAGTCTTAATGATTGAGCTATCCCACCAGCCCTGGACACACTTAGTCATTTTGAGCTACATAGTATGAAAGACTTAGCTTTAACTAAGTCAGGTGATGTGCCAGTTGGTGGTACTGCATGCTTTTAATCCCAGCATGCAGTAGGCAGAGGCAGGAAGGTCTCTGTGAGTTCCAAGGCAGCCAGGATTGTTACACAGAGAAACCCTGTCTCAAAAAAACAAAACAAAACAACAACAAAAATAAATTCAGAAAATAATTTAGAAAAAGCATTAAAAAAAATCAGCTATGATAAAGCAACCAAAGCAGATCCAAGATCAAACATCATGACCTCATATTCACTAGTACCAATACTAATGAACTAACTAAATGAGGCTGATTTGTTATTAAAATCTCCAGCAGGAATTTGAATACCAGTTAGTGTGCAGGAAATGTTATTTATCTATGTATTCCTAACAGAATGAGAGGCAACTGAATGTTAAGATGTAATGGAAATAAGTGAAACTTTACACATTATTTTATAGTAATTCCTAACTAAAAATGGTTACAAAACTCAATTTGCATGTGTGTAATATATGATATCATTTGAATTTTCCAAGAGAATTATAATGGAGAAATTCAGGGTTACCTGAGCATCTTTATTCATGCCAATGAAGCAATAATAAATTTTCTACACAAATAAAAAATTTGGTAAAATATCCAACAACCTGTTAAATTCAATTTGAGAGAAAAATATCTTCCTCACACATACCTCTTTTTTATAACTTTCTGATCTATATGATTACTATCATTATTGATAGTTTCAACAGTTAAAATAATCCTACAATTTATAAAGAAAACCAGTTATTTTTTACAAAAGAATTTTCCTTTAAATTGTTCTTTTTCTCAAGTTGGTTAATCAAGACTCTCATCTTTATGGTTTATTGTAATTACTAAATATTCAAGCCACATTTGCTGTCTCTCAAATTTGAATACCACTAGTTTAAATTAAGGCTCCCAAATTAGCACATTTGTTCTAATGCCTCCTTGCTCAGCAGTGCCAACTACTACTTACTACTCTTAAATCAAGACTGTTAAAATTGTCTATTTAACCTTGTACATCCTTAATAATTTGAATTCTGCTATCCCATCCTTTACCTTGACCCTCAAAACAAATTTCCTTGACTTTCCATAAAGTGCAGGAAAATTACTCTGCTTTGCATGCTGTTATATTTGATCATCTCCAATACATACATACATATACACACACACACACACACACACACACACACACACACACACACACACACACACAGAGCTCTATTTGGATATATCTGATCCCTCAAATTCACACATGCACACTCATGTACAGTGCACTTGGCCTATTCAAATTCTGTTTATCTGACTAAATCTATTACCTCTGAAAATATTTTATTGATTTTCCCCCTATCTTATTATGTGTCTATGTGCCTTAAAATTTGGTTTTATTAATATATATTATAATTTTGTTATGATAATAACAAACAAAAAATTTTAAAGCTTTATTCTTTAGAAAATGTGTAAAACAAAATTCCTAAAAAAGCAGACTTGGAGATACAGAAGGGCGCAAGATAAATACTAAAGTCATTGCTTAAATTTAGGACCCCAAATTACATAATTAATATTTTTTTTTTACATACTTACAGCTAAACATTAGTCTTTGAGTAGCACAGTGCCAAGTTTAGGAGAAGATGAAACTTCTCTGCTCTAATACTAGTTTTTCAAAAACTGTCAAAAGATGGAAGCAGATTTCACAACCCGAGATAATTGTCTGTGCTTAGCAAAGCAGAGCATCTTTCAAATTCAAATTAATCAGTCTATTTATTTAGGTATTAGGGACTGAATCTAAGGGTTTGCATGTGCTGGGCCAAGACTCGGCCACTGACTCTATGTCCACCTCTTTAAGTGCAAGTTTAATGCATCTTCATATTCACCCTAAACCTAGCAGTGATTCTAAATAATTTTACAATCTTAAATGATTACTAATGATGACAAAACTGGAGTAGTAGTAGTATGAGACATTATGCCTAATATTAATTCAAAGCAGTAAAGGCTCACAAATTTCTCATAGACATCAGCTGAGTCAGGTTCAAGACACACACCTGTAATTCGGAGAGGCTGAGACAAAAGGATTCGGAATTTGATTCCAGATCAGTTTACACAGTGAGCAAACACACACGAACACACACACACACACACACACACACACACACACACACACACACACACACACACACCCCCTCAGTTCTTAATTATTGCTGGAATTTAAAAGAAAAATATTTTCCTGTGTGTGGTGGCTTTTATTTGTAAGCACAGTAATCTGGAGATGGAAATAAGAAAACAGAATTCAAGGCCAGCCTGGGCTATAGAAACGTTTGTTTCAAAAGAGGGGAGTGGAGGGGGATCATTTCTAACTTTTAAGTGAAACACTAGTGCTAATTATAAAATACAACCCACCTACCTCTTAACTGTAACTTCCAGATTTTACATAAATGTATGTTTGTCTAAATAGACTGTAGCATGATAGAAAATGTTATTGAAAGACTGACTAGTGTTAGTTACATCCATTCACACACAACATATAAACTTTATCTTCCTTCACACACTTCTTCCAAGTCTAAATTTAACATTTACACTTTCTCAAATGTGTCCTTTCCTAATCAATACTTTCTCTAGTAAAACTAATGGTTAGGAGGTAAACAGTTTTATTTTCTGACTATCATTATAATTAAAATAAACCTTTCTCACATGGTTATAAATAACCTCAGTGTTGAGTCACACAAGAGACAAACACAAAAAAGCACAAGTATCCCAGCAAGAGAAAATTTGATTTAGGGTATAAGAAGTGTGCCAAGAACCTAAACTGACGTAGGTGGTTACTGTCTCATGCCATTGGTGGGGCTCAACTTCATAATCCAATAGGGGAACAGTCAGGAAATGAGTCCTTGCAGGCTACCTACCTTTAATCAAAAACAAAGCAAAAACAACAACAAAAATGGAGTTTCTCACAATGTATCACAGTTGTTTTAAATAAATATGAGGCTACAATATCAAAGAAAAATAACCAAAACTGCAAAATGAAACTATGGCTTTAAAAGTGCACTGAGAGGACCTTTTCGACATGAGACAAAAGGACTACAGTAAGAAAAGATGGGAGGATGTAAGCGGGTGCAAAGGAGTAATTGGTCCATTTAAAACTGTGACCTTCCATGTAGATTGACAGGAGCCAAAGCTAGCTAGACAATGGAGAAGATGAAAAGAAAGGATACAGGGTTGTGGGAAAGGGGGAACTAATCTGAGATAAAAACCTGCCAATTGTTGCTTTATATATACATATATATTTTAAAATACTAATTAACAATTTTAAGGCATTTTCCAACAACTTTGTCTTTTTGTTTTATTTTTAAGATTTATTTATTATGCATACAGCATTCTGCCTGCATGTATCCCCTGCAGGCCAGAAGAGGGAACCAGATCTGATTATAGATGGTTGTGAGCTACCGTGTGGTTGTTGGGAATTGAACTCAGGACCTCTGAAAGAACAGTCAATGCTCTTAACCTCTGAGCCATCTCTCCAGCTTAAGTAGCCCAGGCAAGTTTTGTATTTCTGATCATCCTGCCTCTACCTGACAAGTGCCGAAATTATAGGCATTAATCACCACAACTATCTCAGGTCTCCTTTAAAAGTACAAACTGCTGGGCAGTGGTGGCACACACCTTTAATCACAGCACTCCAGAAGCAGAGGCAGGTAATTTTTTGTGAGTTTGAGGCAAGCCTGGTCTACATAGCGAGTTTCTAAAACTTAAGAGAGTCACCCGTATCTGTTTCTTCAAGCTTTGGGATTAAAGGCATGAACCATCACTGTCAGGCTGAAATTAACATTTTTAAAAGTTATTTTTCTTCCTCCACTCTCAGGTGTACACAATCATCCCTGGTTCTTTCCTGTGTATTCTGTGTATTTTAATCATCATGATGGAAAGCTGGCCAGCAAGTGTCTACTATGTGTATATATATTTAAAATATACCTATAAAATGCAAATTTGGTGCTCTCAAGTATTGGGTAGCTACTGGGGGTCTAGAAATATCCTCTAGCTAGAACACTACCATTTTTCCTTAAATTTCATTTACATGAAAGGTTCACAGTTAATATTTTCACAGTGAACTATGAATTTGGTTTTTAATTTATAAAGAATTCCACGAAAAAAAAATGTAAGAAATAATCATTTCCTAAGATACCCTCTGTTGGAAACCTAATTCCAGTTTCCTCCTACACAGATAACCTTAAAAGCTGATATTTACCCATGTATTTAAAAATCAGAAACAACTTTATTTGATTAATAAAGTTTGATTAATAAAGACCAGGCCAAATGCACAAAATGAAACATTATTCAAGAACCAAAAATTTTAGATTTTAGAAACTAAGAAACTTTAGGGGCTAAGGAAATAGCTCAGCAGTAGAACATTTGCATGTTTACACCTAAGGTTCAATGCTCAGCATGGTCAAAAACCTAAGTTCACTTCCCATGGAGGTTTCATGTTGGATGGGTGTAGAGGTACATATCTATCATCTTAACACTAGACTGAAGAACAGAGGCAGAAGGAATAGAGTTCAATGGCAACGTGAGCTGGACTGGGGTCCCGCCTCAAAACGAAACAACTCAATTAAGGGAAGCCTATATCCTGTTCTTCGGTATATCCTTTACTCCTGGGCACCTCTTTTTCTCTTAACCCTCATACTTAATTTAAGCCTAAGTGAAAATACCTTTGAAAAATGCAAACTTTATGTGTAAATGTATATAATGTCTAACTAACAGCAAATAACAAAAAAAAAAAAACTATAAATTGAAACACATAACAGATATTCTTGTTGGAAAATACAAAAGGCTCATACATAAAGTTATCTCAAGGTTTTAGGGAAATATTGTTACATGCAAAATTAAATGCAGTTAATTTCTGACAAGCAGTAGTAGTTAAATTTCACTTTGTTTTTATATTCATAAACTTTAAAAAAAACAAACAAAAGAACAAAGTCTAACTACATAGCTAACTAGGCTAGTCTATACCCAAGACAGGACTTGAACTTAAAAGGCTCCTGTCTCGGGCTTTTAAATGTTAGGATTACAAGCACGTACGTACGTACGTACATACATACATACATACATACATACATACATACATACACACACACACACACACACACACACACACACACACACACACACACACACACACGTAGAGGCAAGAAGATCTCTGTGAATTTGAGGCCAGCCTTGTCTACATAGTGAGTTTTGAGACAGCCAGTAAGACTCTTACCTGGGAGGAAGGACGGTTAGAAAATAGCACCAGTTTTTAAAAAAAGAAGAAAAGTAGTGTATAAAAAAGAAAAACTAAAAGGGATACTTCTATATTACATTAGAAGCAGCATTAAAACTTTTAGTAGATTTGGTCAGTACATGGCATATGTAAAATAACCTTAAATTATTTTAAAATAAGCTGTTTCAGGTATTTTCATAAACTTTTAGTCTCATTAAGCTTTGAACATTTTTTGTATATTAATCCTTTGCTTGTATACTTTGGTTTCCATTTTTGTGTTTTTGTATGTGTTTCTTGTTTTTGTTTGCTTTAAAAAAAAAAAGAGCATGGAGTTGAGTGAGATGTGGAAGATCTGGAAGGCACTGGAGAGAGGAAAAGTATGATTATAATACATTGCATGCATTTTTCATTAAAAACTACAAAAAAGAAAAAAGCTACTTTATTTATTGTTGTTTTTGAGACAGGGTAGCTCTGGCTGTACTGGAACTAGCTCTCTGTAGACAGCTGCCTCTGTCTCTCAAGTGTTGGGATTTTTAAGGGCAAGTAAACTGAAGGGCAATAATACCTTCATACTTGAAATGTACAATTAATGTTAAAATTGAATAGAGCCCCACTTAATGATTTTAAAGATAAGTAGTTCATAATACAGTTTAAAACTTCTTAACAACAGTTTATCGCATGCAGTAACACAAACCAGCACAAACTTATAGAAGAAAATTGTCAGGTGTGGATTTAGTGGTAAAGCACTTGCCTAGCAGGCATAAAGCTTTGAAGAGAAGGGAAGTGAGGAAAAGGGGGGAGGGGGAGGAGCGCTAATAGGTGGAATTCTCAAAGCTACAGTTAACTCCACAATAAATCAAATCACTCCAAAACTCCATTAACAAAGAAAAAACAATTTCTGATATACCTGCCATTCTGTAAGCTAGTGTGTGTATGTCACCAGAAAAAGGAACAGGAAGAATGCCTCTATGTCTCGGTGTTTGTTATACACTATTTTTTGCCCTTACACTCTTGTTACTTTACTCTTGTTAGTTTTGATTTTTTTGAGACAGGTTCTCACTATGCAACCTTGGCTGGCCTAGAACTCCCCAGGTACATCAGGCTACCCTTGAATTCACAGAGATCTGCCTGCCTCTACTTTGCCTGGTGAGTGCTGGGATTAAAAGTATGTATCACTATGCCTGGCAAGACTTAATATTTTTTATGTGAAGTAAGTCCTCCTGATATACTTACAAAAAGAAATTTCAAAATGAGAATTTCTATCTAGTCTCTCCTTTTCATATCACAGGTATGAGGATTCTCCCTGAGTACTCTAAAGTGTGACTCACAAAATAATTACTTCTCTGGGAGGTTCTACAGTTGTACTTAACTTTTATAGTGAGAAACACACATGCAGGTACCCAAAGACAGCCAATTGTGAACTAAATAATCTTTATTATCACCACTTTTTGCACCAATGGACTTTGCCAAGTAGTATAGTCAAGAAAATACCATACAGAAAAAAAATTTTGTGGTCACTATTTGTCATTGGATTATGACCAAAAAGCAAAAATTGGGAAGGGTTTTCCTACCACTGTGCTTAAGGATTCCCAAACAAATAAATGCAGGTTATGGGTTAGGAATACCTTTAAGTATTTGTGTGTGAAAAATAGCTAATTTTGATTATTCTGAATTCAAAAGTCAATATTCCTTTTAATTTGAAAACTCTGTTAAATTTTTGAAACTCTTTTTACCTTTATCTTATATATTTGAAGTAATTTTCTACTCGGCCAATGATAAATTTCAGTGACACAGCAGACAAAGTTCAAAGTTAGTTGCTCCCTTTATGACACAACAAATAAAATTCCATCAAAAAGCCTTTTTCTCAATCAGCATACAGAAGTAATAGTTATAATCTGCACTTACTCTTCACCCCTTTCTTCCCCTTTCGTTCCTTCTTGTACTGTTCCTTCAGTTTACTTATTAGTACCTGGTCTACATCCCAAACCTCAGCAGTTGGGGAGAGGTCATCTTTATCTACATGCAGCATATTATTAAAAGAAAAAATATCAGCAGTTGGCAATGCAAGCTGTTGGCAGTAAACTGTTAAAGCTTTATATCATCATAATAAAGATATTGTAATACTCAAAATACTTTAAAGGTGCAGTCTCAGTTTGTAACTCACAACTCAATTCAATTCAATGTCCTTAAGTTCCTAAGAATTTAATGTTATCCACAGGTAAGCAATACTTCATTTCATGTATCACAAATTAGAGGAATATTCTTTCATCATTGAACTAACATTAGAAATCTACTATTAAAAACAGATCACTGCATCTTTATAAAAATGTTAATAAAAAGTATTCAGCCAGCATCATATAAGCAAACAAATGAACTGCATGCGAATTCATAACAGAGTGCAAGCTATAAATGTCAGTGCCATTTCACTGATTAAATTAGTCATGCATCCCTGTCACACTAGTTCTGCATGCACAGGATAACTGTACTATGATAGAAAGGCATTCTAGTCCAATGTTATACATATAGTTCCCAAATACAATGTCTCAAGTAATTCACACAAAGCATTCAAAGACCACCACCTCTGTCTCCACCCCACCCCCAACGTTTCAAGATTTCATTACCTTTTTCCACTGGACTACAACTAAAGATTAGCAAAATAATAGAATAAAAATAAATAAGAAAATTCAAATTCCACTGAAGTCTTATTTGAGCTGATTTTATTTCAGGGTAAAACAATGACAAGCACAAAGAAAATAAAACACACATTGCTTTATATTTCAGCAATGTGAAGTAAATACTTATGTCTGGGGGAAAAATCTACTCATAGTAAACTAGAAATGTCTTTAAAAAAGATAGTATAAAAATAATTTTCTTAGAATTACTTCACTATTTGAGAGTTTTCATTCATTTGGTTTTAAGGCAACTTTATTATTATTGAATTTAATAGTTACAGACTTTTAGAGCCCTCTTAATTAAAAAAAAAATTATACCCATTTAGTTTTTAAATAAGTTACACTAAATAAGAAGATTTTAGTTTTAAATTTCATAACTAAGCACTACTGTTTTTCTAAGTCTGAAAAGCTCCCAAGGCCTCATTCAATCATGGAAAGGCCTTCCCACCCCTCTAGACTGATCTCTAAAGCAAGCATACAAGGTCTCATGTGTGAACAGCAGAGAGAAGAAATTCAAAGAGTTCCTGTACCTCGATTCTTTTCTATAATTGTTATGCCTTTGCTCTATTGTAAGTACTTGGTATGTGAAAAGATATTAATTTGCTAAATTCTGGTACTTGAAACTAACTTACCAAGATTAGTATTTTCATGAATTATTAAATCTGTAAAAGTAGCACAGTATTAATATTTAAGTGAAAACTAATTATTATAGTCACAATGTTTCCTGAAAACTATGCTGTATCAGGAATCCTGTCCATTTACTGAATAATGTGACCTGAGTCATTTGAAATTATCTCTCTTGTGAGGAGAGGGTCTTAGAACATAGCCCCAGCTAACCTGGATCCTTGATCCTTCTGTCTCAGACTTGCTGTGGTTATGGGCCTGCACCTCAAGACCAGCTCATATAGTCAACTTAATGAAACTAATGATTCCTCTTGTCAATTACTTACTTTAGGACAACTTAATACATCTTAAAAGAAGAATGTTTTACAACTACCAATTAAAAAAAGAAGAGAAAGAAAAAACCTTAAGACTTAAGTGGCACAAAACCTTACAAGGGAAAAAACTAATTATAATGACCAATTTTCTAAAAGTCCTGTGTAGCAAGAATGAAGCTGTGGAAGTACAGTAGCAAAGAGTGGAGTGGAAAAGCAAAGAAAAACAAAGAAACAAGATTACTTGCAAGATAATCTTAAATCTAGAAAGCAAAAATAAACTAAGGTGGTGCAAAGAACAGGTTGGTGGATGCATATGTGCACAAAAACATCTGGAACTTGCCTGGTAAGTAACAGATGATTTAATATTGCTTATAAGAAATAGGTAAGAGCAAAAGGGAAGAGGCAGGATAATCTTCTACATATTAATCCTGTTTTAAAAAATCGGGGGGGGGGGGAATACCAAGAAATGAAGTTGAATCAATTATGGGAACTTTTTTTTTTCCTAAAAGAAAACACAAACATGCACAGAAAGTTGATTCCAAACAATGTGAAACCACAAAACCATAAAATTCCATATGGTAATTATACAAATCTATTAACAACGGCATAAATTTTTAACTAGTTTCACTTTGTGAAAATAACTCTTTAACCCTTGTCTGTAAATACCAGTATTTAGAAATTAATTATATATTGTGATACTAATAAGTCCAAAGATCATAGTTTCAAAGAGTTGAAGAAATAAGTTAACATTCTTAAAATTCCAACTATCTCCATAAGAATATGGCAAATGACATACCAACTAGTACTTATGTGAAGGACATAAAATTATATTACCTAATTAAATAACAGTGTTTGAACAAGACTTTTGCTTCTTTTTAAAATCGTGGTTTCATACAATAATATTCTGGAGTACATTTAAGACTCTTTAAATCTAAAAACTTCCCATTTAAAAACTATTAAAACTTGAGTAAATGAATTAAAAATAAAAGCAGTGTTTTTTACATGTATGCTTAGTTTCAGAAGAAAATGAACATGACGACAGCTGTTAAATAATGAATTTTAGAAACACTGCATAGAACCTTTTTGCTTTTATGCAGAAACTTCTTGGATCACCAAGAATTTAACATGCTCAGAATTTCAGACTCCATTGATACTAAGAGGCTTTCTTGGTAAATTTCCATTTAAAAAGAAAATAAAGATCAAGTAGTGATATGAGTTGTCACTCATAGATCAAGTCCTCTACAGCCAGAAGTCTCTGAACAAAGGACTAAAATAATTTGCATTATTAAATAATCCCATTTCACACAAATTAAATTTCTGAAATGTTTGTTATTTAGACTAAAAGTTAAAATTCTAGTAACTTTAGATAAAGAAAACAGAAATGGTTGTGTCAAGATTTAGCTAAATAGATCCTTAACAAGCCCTTAAGTAGATTATATGTATAAGTACATATGTTAACCATGATTGTCTGTCTGTATAATATTGTAGATGACTTCTAATTTTATATCTGATATTTATTTTAGTCCCTAAAATACATTTATACTATAAAATATGTATATAATATCTATTTTTATATCATTAAAATTTTCAAAAAAATAACCAGTACTTTTAAAGTTATAAGAAAAATACAGTCCAAGATTTAATAGGCTACACATAAACTTAAATGTCTTTTCTTTTACTGTTCTCCTACAAACAAGTAATCTCCTAAACTATAGCCATTTCAAGAAAATACAAGTATGTACAGTCCAGGCAGTAAGTAACTGTGGAATTTATGTTTTCAATTAACAACCCCCCCACTTCTATTTACACTTTGAAATAAATCTAAAATTAATACTTTAAGCTATAAATGAGAACTTCCCTGAAGATGTGAGTTATAGGTCACTATCACCAATATAAGTGCGAAGAACCAGAAAGTTAAGTGTTCTTAACCACTGAGCCATCTCCCCAAAAAATCATGTGTTTTTCTTTTTCTTTGGTTTGTTGAAACAGGTTTTCTCTGTGTAGCCCTGGCTATCCCTGAAACTCCCAGGTTGGCCTTGAACTCAGCAACTGCCTGGCTCTGACTTCAGGTGCTGGGATTAAAGATATGAGCCACCACTGCCCAGTCCAAGTATGTTTTTCTATTTCCAGAGTAATTAAAAATAACTAGGGATAAATCTTTTTAGATATGTTAAGAAGGTCTATAAACACACTTTGAGTTCTACCTCTTATCAGATAACATTAAACAATGATTAAGTGAACATTAAGAAAACACATTTTAAACTATTCTTAAAATATATTTTACATGTATATGAATAGGGGTTTTTAACTGCTGGTAGAACTTTTCTTTGATTATACATTGCCTACTATTAGCTTTATGTTTCACTTTCAAAGTTTAGGCCCTCATATTTGTACACAGGATATTATATGCAATAAGTGTAATACACTCACTAAATCTTGCTCATTATTAGTACTGTAAGTCAAAATTAATAATTTATTGCTACCTAGCACTAAGACAGATAACACCATATGGGCATAGGAGGAGCTAAGTTCTCATAAAGCCTTTACCACCCAAAATTAAATGATTTGTTAAAAAAAAAAAAAAAAGAAAGAAAGAAAGAAAAGAAAGATCTTTTAGAGAGGAAAAATAAATTTGTAAATCAACAAAACCCTTCAAGTCAAGATCAACTTCTGAAGTCAAAAGTTGTAACTGAAAACCCCTGTCAGGAAATGTAATAAACTAGGACCAATACTTCAAATTACCAAAAACACTTCTGCTTGCTCTCAGTTTACCTGCTACCATACACTCAGACACACAGACCCCACACACAATGTTTACTAACAAATCATCTGGGAGGGCTACAATTCCTCCCACCCCAGCTTTTCTTGCCCCCTTACCCCATTCTGTACCATCCCCTGAACTCCGTGCTTCGCCAGCTCCTTCACCATCTTCTGCAGTCACTAAAAAGTCAAATTCTTTCAGTGCTTCCTCGGTATCAGGATCATCAGTTAAGTCAGCAGCTAAACCTTCATTACCTATCTGTAAAGAGAAAATAAGCCAATAATTGTACTTTTAGTTCTACATTTCAAAGAGGACCTTTAATATTTCACAACAGTATTTATAGATCTACTATGAAATTATGCAGATCCACAATTGTACTTTTCCACACAATTCACAAGTTTTAAACTATGCCCTAGATAAACAGTTCACCATTGTTGTGAAGAGCACTTGTGAGATGTGACCCAAGCAAAGGGGTGCCATAAAAACTAGTTTACTCCTTAAGTGTTTTCTTAATTATAGAAGGTTCACAGATGATCCCTGCTAAAGAATCATCTCATAAAGAACTTACCCGCATCCTGGTAAGTTAGTTATCTAATGGCTGAACACACTAAGAACTGTTACTAGCTCTATCATTCATGGCATCATAGCATAACAACCAATAAACTTACACTGGTTGTGCAACAGATAATAAAAGCAACCTACGTCCCAGAACAAACAGAATCTCAGGTTTGTGAGATGTCTCACAGGATAAACGCCTGCCCAATGACCTGAGTTTTATCCTCATAAGCACATAAAGCTGGAAGGAGAACATTGCCTCCACAAAATTGTCCGGACTTCCTTGCGCTGTGGCAAATATGCACTTTATAACACACTGTAAGTTTAAAAAGTAAAACCTCTATGCATCCAATAAAATAATATGTCACACTTATGAAAAGCTGGAGAAAGGTTGAAAGCTTTTGAAAAATACTTAATTTTTTTTTTTTCCTCTATCATTACTGCAAAATCTCAAAGTGCCACAATTCATTTACTACTTTTTTGTTTTTTTACTCTTTTTTTTTTTGGCTGTCTCTATCCCTGGGCCCTCACCTCTCTCTCAAGTGTTGCACCACCACATCTATTTTATGTGGTACTGAGGTTAAACTTTGTAATTTGTGCATAACTACTCAAATACTTTAATGTACAACCTCAGGCCTCACTTTTTTTTAAACACACACACACACACACACACACACACACACACACACACACACACTTTGATGCTTAAAATAGAGGCATGCTCTGTTTTTGGACCTGTAGATTTAACTTCCCACTCACCACTAAAATACATTAAGTCTGTTTCTTACTGTATTAGCGAAAGTAAATTTTTATTAATCCATACCAAATAATCAGAATGTTGGACATCCTTACAATACATATATCACCCTCACCCAAGTTGGGAGTATCTACACTGCAGTACTGCAGTTCCTGTTCATTTATCTTCCATGTGATACTATAAGATAAACTTCAGTGTAGACCCTAAACTGGTAGGATTTCAAACCACTAGACAAATACTTTAATAGACATTTTTCCAGCCATGACTAATACATGAAAACTTAATTCCTACATCTGTACATAACTCAGTGGTAGCTAGCAATATAAACCTTTCAAGGGACACCTAAAAAAATTACTGTCCAAATTATTGAATATAGATAATAATGTAAATCTCCTACTTTGTGCTTATTGATCCGAAGTTTGTCTTTTCCTTCAGGGATGCCCTCAATCATGTCATTTTCTTCCTCATCGCTGTCATCAGCATTTTCTAAGAAATTGAATGTCTCAAGAACATCACCAGACGGCCTATAGAAAAAAAGATGATTCCAACTATTTCAATGATCAACTCTAGTATTTCTTCCTGCATCCTATTTTAATACTTCTCCTGAGTTGAATCCAGGATGTCATACATGACAAGTGTTCAATGGCTGAGCCACATCCTGACCCTTCTAATTCCTAGTTTAAGACTACTTGATGGTAACTGTTGCAATCCAAACACAACCTAATTTTTTGTTGCTATGAGACAGGATCTTACAAAGTTCACATTAGTCTCAACTCACTATGTAGCTGAAAATAACTGAATTCCTGATCCTCGGACCTGCAGGCTTAGGCTACCACTCCTGGTTCAAGACAACCTAATAATATCATTTGTGCTCTACAACCAAAATAAGCATTGTTCAGTATTTAATGAGTTCATTCAAATCATTCTGTCTAAAACATCTTGGATAAATGCTACAAGAAAATAAAATGTGGGGACTGGAAGTGGCTCATAGGTAAAAGTACAAGTAAGATCTTTCAGGAGACTTGAGTTTGGGTCCCAACATCCACAAAGAACGGCTCACAGCAGTCTGAGACTCTAGCTCTTAGAGATATAATACCTTCTTTTGGGTCTCTGTACATACCCACCTGTATATATCTCCTATCACACACAAACATAATTAAAATTAAGACTTTAGTCTTTAAAAAGTTTAGACAACCAAATGTTATTATTTCTCAAAATTACCAGAATAAGCAATTTAGCAATTTTTTTTATAATGCCTTATACTTTAGCCTAACTTTCTGAAGACTAAACAATGGCACACAAAAACTAAATATATTAAAGCTATTCATATTTAAAATTGTGAAACATATATTCCTTAAGATACACCAAGCTGTGGGGAGCTGAGGAAGCCCTGAGTGGATTTGTATTGTTGACAAGAGCTGGCCAGGCTTAGTGTGGTGGTGTACGCCTTTGATTCCAGTACTTGGATGGCAGAGGCAGGAAACTCTAAGTTATAAGCCAGCCAGAGCTACTAGAGAATAATAAAGACATGAGTAATTGCCCCATGGAGTGGCAAACCGTTTCCAGGATGAGGCTCAGAGGGATGGCAAAGTCTTCCTGATTGAATGGTGAATGTTGACAGTGTGTGTAGAAATGTACACTGTAGCTTTCTACTTCCTACCCCAGATACTTATGGCGTGAAAACTGCTCCCCTGCAGCTCATACTACCAAGATGAGCTAAATGTACCTCCTGATTTGGCTGCATACCATACAACCTGATTCCTTGTTCAGTTATATATAATAAACACACTAAACCTCCTGGGTGCTGTACTTCTCCAGAGCCCAGGCAATCACCCTAGCATTTCTGTGTGTATATGTCCAATATCAATAAATTCTTTCTCCCCTCACCACCCCTAGTCAGGGTTCCAGGACCCAAGAGACACCAACCCATTTTATAGATTTCTTATGTAGAAAAAAAAGCACCTTTAACCTATTAAAATACTTCAAAACAACTCATGTAATAGATAATAGCAACAATCTTTACTGAAATTAATTTGAGCTCCTGTATATAAAAAAGGTGCCTTCAGACAGTCATTTTAATGACTAACATTAAGAGCAACTGTAGAAAAATCTTGCTAAAAATGAGATTCACAATGAAAAGTCTCTGCCACACAACTGCCTTTGATGTTTGTAAGTTAAACAATGTTAACCTACAAATATAAATCATACCTTTTGATTTCTTGTCCTTTTTGTTTAGGAGATTCACCTCCATTCAGGATCTGTTCTAAATTCTTTGCTTCTACGGATCCGTTTGGTTCTGAATTAGACAGTCCAAGTAATGACCTTACCCGTTGAGATCGTACATCTAATATTGTATCTGTGTATCCTACTTCCTGAAGATACCTAACATGAGAAAATTAAACATTAAAATTCAGCATACTGGGGAAAAGAAACGACCCAGTGGCTAAGAGCACTAACACTCTTCCAAAGGTCCTGGGTTTGATTTCCAATAACCACATGACAGCTAACAACTGTCTGTAACTCCAAAATCTGACTGACACCCTTACATAGACATATATGCAGTGCACATAAAAATGAGTCATTTTAAAAACAACAAACTGTTAATATCTACTACTTTCAAATCATATTAATTTTTTAGAAAATTTCATAATCATACAAACTACTTTTTCTTTGTCTCAATAGCTCCACTATAGACTAATTCAAGTTCTAAGAGAATGATGTCAACTGTAAATAAAAATTGAAATACAAGGGCTGGACATAATGCTCAAATACTGGCTCACAACCACCCGTAACTCCAGTTCCAGGGTATCAACCCTTGCTCTGACTTATGTGGGCACCCAGGACACATGTGGTACATACACATACATCCAGACAAACCACTCATACACATAAAATAATCTTTAAGAAAAATGAAGTAAGGTGGGGTGTGGTGATATACACCTTCAATCCCGGAACTCAGGATGCAGAGGCAGATGGAACTTGGGTTGAGGCCAGCCTGATCTACAAAGAATTCCAGGATTCCAGGATAGCCAGAGATAGAAACCCCATCTTGAAAAAGCAAAAGGATAAAAAAAAAAAAAAAAAGGAAGAAAGAAGTGTGGGTACCTCTGATTCAGAGCCCTTTATCTCAATACCTTAAAAAAGCCCCAGAGTTTTAAAAAAAGCTTTTGAAATACACACACACACACAAACACACACACATATAAAGGCATATCTCTATGCAGACACATACATCTTTTAAAGAGACACATCTTTTAAATAGATATGTGAATTTACATACATACATATGTGCACATGCACATTTTTTAATTCATTATTTTACATGTCAATCCCAGTTCCCCCTTCCTCCCTCCCTCACTTTTACCCTCTCTGCCCTCTCACATGCACCCTAACCACCCTCCCCTCACATCCCCCCCACCCCAATTCCATATGTAGGGGAATGCCATCTAGTTGGGGTCATGTAGATCTGACAGGTCATTTGAAGTAGGGAAAACTAGGTTAAGGCAGTTATCCCTCCATGGGGGATGTGTTCGCAAGGTCCATTTGTGCACCAGGGATACATCCTGGTTCCACTGTCTGAGGTCCCTTAGACTGCTCAGTCCTTCTGGCTGAGACCCACATTCAGGGGGGCCTAAGTCAGTCCCATATTGGCTTCCCAGCTATCAGTCTGGGAGCCTGTTAGCTCCTCCTTCTTCAGATCAGCTGTCTGTATGTATTTCTGCCACCTGGTCTTGTCCTCTTCATCTGCATCTGGGTCCCAGTTCGACTCAGTGTTTATGTATGGTTTGCTCCTGTTTCCAACAGGTATTAGATGAAGGGTCCATGGATAAGTTAGTTGTTGCTCTCCCTATCCGGGAAGGGCATTTATGGTAGCATTTCCACGGATGCTCAAATTGTTAGTTGGCAGCAGTCTTGTAGTTCTCTAGACCTTTCTTTGTGTTCAATTTTATCTTCAAACCAATATGTGTTCTCTCTCTCCCCCCCCCCCTCTCTCAACCCTAAACCCTAACATCTCTCCCTCTCTCCCTCCCCCCCTCCTGTTTTCTTTTCCTACCCGGACTCAAACTTCTTAGTCGCGCATGTTTTCCTTTCCTCCCCCTCACTTTCTCCCACTTCTCTCAACATTCACTGCCCGCCCCACTTCCCCTGTGCTCTGGGGGACTTGTCCCTTCCCAGTTCTGTGAGGGACTTTATATGAATCTCTTAAAATACACCTTGTATCCTAGTTCCTCTGGTGATGTGAATTACAGGCTGGTGATCCTTTGCTCTAGGTCCAAAATCCATATATGAGTGAGGACATACTATGTTCCTCTTTTTGTGACTGGGTTACCTCATTCAGGATGGTTTCTTCAAGTACCATCCACTTGCCTGCGAATTTCAAGATTCCATTATTTTTTTCTTCAGAGTAGTATTCCATTGTGTAGATGTGCCACATCTTCATTAGCCAATCTTCAATTGAGGAGCATCTAGGTTGCTTCCAGGTTCTTGCTATTACAAATTGTGCTGCTATAAACATACCTGAACAGATGTCTTTGTTGCATGGATGTGGATCGTTTGGGTATATGCCTAAGCGGGGGATTGCTGGGTCCTGTGGTAAACTAATTCCCATTTTCCTGAGGAACTGCCATACTGATCTCCAAAATGGCTGTATGAGTTTGCACTCCCACCAGCAGTGGAGGAGTGTTCCCCTTTCTCCACATCCTTTCCTCCAGCATAAATTGTCATTAGTGTTCCTAATTTTAGCCATTCTGGCAGGAGTAAGATGGTATCTCAAAGTTGTTTTGATTTGCATTTCCCTGATAGCTAAGGATGTTGAGCACTTTCTTAAGTGTCTTTCAGCCTTTTTGATTTCCTCTATTGAGAATTCTTTCTTCAGTTCTATACCCCATTTTTTAATAAGGTTATTTGGTATTTTGTTGACTAGTTTCTTGAGTTCTTTGTATATTTTGGAAATCAGCCCTTTGTCAGATATAGGATTGGTGAAAATCTTTTCCCAGTCTGTGGGCTGCTGTTTGGTCTTGTCCACTGTATCCTTTGCCTTACAGAAGCTTCTAAGTTTGAAGAGGTCCCATTTATTAATTGTTGCTCTCAGTGTCTGTGTCCCTGGAGTAATGTTCAGAAAGTGGTCTCCTATACTAATTTGTTCAAGGGTACCTCCTACTTTCTCTTCTAAGAGGTTCAATGTGGCTGGATTGATGTTGAGGTCTTTGATCCATTTGGACTTGAGTTTTGTGTATGGCGACAGACATGCAGTCTTCTACACACCCTCATCCAATTGTGCCAGCACCATTTGTTGAAGATGCTGTCCTCGCCCCATTGTATTCTTTTAGCTGTTTTGTTGAAAATCAGGTGTTCATAGGTGTGTGGGTTAATATCAGGATTTTCAATTCAATTCCATTGGTCTACCTGTCTATTTTTGTGCCAATAACAGGCTGTTTTCAGAATTATAGCTCTGTAGTAGAGCTTAAGTCAGGAATAATGGTGATGCCTCCTGAAGTTCTTTTATTGTATAGGGTTGTTTTGGCTATCCTGGGTCTTTTGTTTTTCCATATAAAGTTGATTATTATCCTTTCAAGGTCAGTGAAGAATTGTGGTGGGATTTTAATGGGGGATTGCAATGAGTCTGTAGATTGCTTTTGGCAAGATTGCTGTTTTTACTATGTTTATGCTACCTATCCAAGAGCATGGGAGATCTTTCCATTTTCTGGTATCTTCTTTAATTTCTTTCTTTAGAGCCACAAAGTTCTTATTATATAGGTCTTTTACTTGTTTGGTAAGTGTTACACCAAGATACTTTATGTTGCTTGTGGCTATTATAAAGGGTGATGTTTCTCTGATTTCTTTCTCTGTTCTTTGTGGTCTGAAAAAAGTAGGGCTACTGATTTTTTTTGAGTTTATCTTGTATCCTGCTAGTTTGCTGAAGGTGTTTATCAGCTGTAGAAGTTCCCTGGTAGTGTTTATTGGGTCGCTTATGTAAACTATCATACCATCTGCAAATAGAGACAGTTTGACTTCTTCCTTTGCAATTTGGATCCCCTTGATCTCCTTTTCTTGTCTTATAGCTTTAGCTAGAACTTCAAGTACAATATTGAAGAGATATGGAAAGAGAGGGCAGGCTTGTCTTGTTCCTGATTTTAGAGTAATTGGTTTAAGTTTCTCTCCATTGACTTTGATGCTGTCAGTTGGTTTGCTGTATATTACTTTTATTATGTTTAGGTATGTTCCTGTTATCCCTGATCTCTCCAAGACCTTTATCATGAAAGGGTGTTGAATTTTGTTGAAGGCTTTTTCCGCATCTAGGGAGATAATCATATGGTTTTTCTTTTTCAGTTTGTTTATATGGTGGATCACGTTGATAGATTTTCGCATGTTAAACCATCCCAGCAATCCAGGCATGAAGCCTACTTGGTCATGGTGGATGATTTCTCTGATGTATTCTTGAATTCGGTTTGCCAGTATTTTATTGAGTATTTTTGCATCGATGTTCATCAGGGATATTGGTCTGTAGTTGTGTCTTTGTGAGGCTTGGATACCAAGGTTATTGTGGCCTCATAAAAAGCGTTTGGCAATGAACCTTCTGTTTCTATTTTGTGGAACAGTTTGAGGAGTAGTGGTATTAGTTCTTCCTTGAATGTCTGGTAGAATTCTGCACTGAATCCATCTGGCCCTGAACTTTTTTTTGGTTGGAAGGCTTTCGATGACTGCTTCTATTTCATTGCGGGTTATAGGTCTATTTAAGTTGTTTGCCCTTGATTTAATTTTGGTTAAGTGATAGTTATCCAGAAATTTGTTCATTTCCTTTGAATTTTCAATTTTTGTGGAATACAGGTTTTCAAAGTATGACCTGAAAATTGTCTGGATTTCCTCTGTGTCTGTCGTTATGTTCCCCTTTTCGTTTCTGATATTGTTATTTTGCATGTTCTCTCTCTGCTTTTTCGTTAGTTTGGATAAAGGTTTCTCAAAAAACCAACTCTTTGTTGTATTGATTTTTTTTATATTGTTTTCCTGGTTTCTATTTTGTTGATTTCAGACCTCAAGTTGATTATTTCCTGGCATTTACTCCTACGGGGTGAGTTTGCTTCTCTCTGTTCTAAGGCTTTCAGTTGCACTGTTAATTCTCTTATATCCATCCCCACTGCGAGCCTGTGCCCGCCCCCTCCTCCCCCCCTCGCGCCCATGTCCTACCCTGCCTACTGTCCCACCGCTCTGATTGAGCACTGGGACAGAGGGTGGAGCCAACAGTCCACACTACTTAGGGGACTTCTAGGAGCGACTCTGAGCACATGCATATTTTTATTTATTTATTTATTTTAAATATCCAATGTATGTAAGAGAATAAGTAGATCTGAACCTTAGAACAGCACCATGCTAAGTTCTTGGCCAGGGATTTGTCAAGGACTAATCCCCTTTTAAGATCTCAGATTCCAGAGCATTCCTCTGGTTGTATGGTTTTCAAAATGCACTTATCTAAGTAAGCCAAGTAATTAACTTAAGATCCAATATGACATCCAAAAGAAGGGGATAGATGGTGACACAAAGATAATAGGCTGATCACTTGAAAATTAAGAGTTAATGAAGGATGATAAAGTCTTGAGGCTGGAGGGATGACTTGTGGCTAAGAGTACTTGCTGCTCTTGTAGAGGACCTGGATTCAGTTTCCTACACTTGGAACAGATACCTGACAATCCCACTTAGATTTCCAATTCTAGGGAATCAGACACCCTTTTCAGGCCTAAGCAGGCAATGTATGCACATTCAAATTTTACATTTAAGCAGTCCTAGTAAACAACAAAAATAATTTTAGATGAAAGCTTAAAAAAATTAGAATAGCAATGAAGCAAGCAAGCAAACAAAAACAGAGACGAGAGTAAATGAGCAAAATAAGCAAGACCACCTTTGTGATGCATAAATAAATGCAATTACACAAAAGGTTAAGGAAGATATGGTGATTCACTCCTGTAATACAACAAAGCAAGGAACAAGAATAAAGACTACAGAGAAAAAAGCGGATCAGGAGTGCAAGCCAAGCCTTGGGCACCATGCATCAATCCTACTTCAAATTGGTTTGACTATAAAAATAAAGGGGGAAAGCAAAGTAGAGAAAATATGAATCCAGGTGATAAGATTAACATTTAAGAGAAATAATGATTTCCCTATTGCCATCCTTTTTTATTCTAAAAATGCAATCTACATATGGTGGAAACAATTCCTTTCCCTACCCCAATCTCTAAACTTTGGTCTATATTAACTGTCAAGGTCTTATACAACCTGGATAAAAATGGAGGTAGGGGAAGCTGTCACATGGGGGGGGTAGTTTTTCTACAAAAGAAGACAATAAAACTAATTCAGAGAAGTAGACAACCATACAGAGATTAAGACTGTGTCCTGGGATTTTCTCTGCAAGTTCCTCAAAGCTACCTGACTTAACATATATTATTGAGGTTTTCCTTCAACTCCCATCAAAACTCTGTTTGTAGTTCAGGTTTTAGTCATGTACAAGAATCTGGAAATGGCTAACAAATAAAGAAGCTTAAATATATTATAGAAAGGAAAGTAAAAACTTTGAAACAATTTTAATCTCATGTTCTATTTTCTGTCAAGTGGAAGCAGAGGAATACTACTGAGAGGATGAGTGGCAATGCTGAAATGTAGTACAAGTTTGGAATCCACTGAGGGCAGTAGGATGCGGGAATGGCCATAGGGAATGGGGTATACATAGAGGTTCTCTGTACAACATAGACTGCTGGTTAATAGCATCCACTTGATACTGTTGTTTTTCTCCATGAGTTAATTAGAATGGAGATCAGAAGGTAAGACTGAACTAAGGTTGTGGTTTTATCCATATTCTGGTAAGACTGACCGGTGATCAAATGATAATAAAAAAAGCTGATGCATCATGGGGTTTAAAGCAGAGCTAAGGACACAAATACAGCAGCCACAAGTAGAAGAAAGAAAGAGGCAAAAGGCAGATGAAGAAAAACAGAACAGTTTAAGTTAAAAAACCTAGCCAGAAATGAGCCTTAGCTAGGCCAAACATTCAAAACTTAGTAAGTCTCTGTATCATGATTTGGGAGCTGGTTGGTGGCCCAAAGGAAAAAGCCTGGCACAATCAATTGGCAAATAACACAAAAACTGGGGTAAAGAAAAGAATACATGTGGTAGTAGTGGTGCACATCTTTAGTCCCGGGACTCAAGAGGCAGAGGCAGGCAGACTTCTGAGTTTGAGGCCAGCCTGGTCTACAGAGTGAGCTCCAGGACTCTATTTCAAGGAAAACAAAACAAAATAAAACAAAACAAAACATGATTACAGTTCTGCTTAGAAGTACAGTAGCTATGATTCATAACAAGATAAAGGATCCACTTATACTCCAGGGCTATCAGCAGGATACAAACAGCAAAATTTCCAACTATAAGAAAAAGAACCACTCTTTAAAAAAAAAGACAATAAATATGATTTGCCATAGTTATCTCTAATAAATCAAAAGACAAGCATCAAAAATGTTCCTCAAATCTTTCACTATGGTCTGGACAGACATCTGCTGCTCTTGCAGAGAGATCCTGGGTTGAGTTCCCAGCACTCACAAGGTGAGATCCAGTGCCTTCTTCTGGCTTCTAATGGCATCAGGCACACAGACAATGAATTACCTATTTACACATGCACACTTGTGCCCGCGTGCACACACACAAACACACACACACACACACACACACACACACGAGTATATAGAAATGCAAAAACACTCATGCATAAAGTAAAATAAATATTTTACAAAAGAATTTTGACTAAAAAATATTTTGGCTAGCCATCACTGAGGAGTTTCAGTTGACCCTTCTCTATGTTCTCATATACTGACTCTACAGTGAAAGTGTGAAGTGCCTTAAATGAATGATGCCATACTCTTATTTTTTTTTAAATATATAATATGGGTATTTTTCCTACGTGTATCAAAGTGTGCGGGCACACAGTTACTAGATGAAGATCACCAGTAGAGACCAGATAAGGGCATCAAATCCCCTGGAACTGGAGTTACAGACAGTTGTAAGTCACCATGTGGTGCTAAGAATTAAACATGGGATCCTCTACAAGAGCAGCCAGTACTTTTAAATGCTGAGCCAAATCTGCAGCCCAACTCAATACTACTTCAGTTCAGGCTTTCATTTAGTTTTTCAGATTTTCAATCACATAGGAGAAGAGAAGAGGGAAGTTATCCTGAAACAAGGGGGAAATAAGCTTTAATAATGGCTGAGTAGGTGAAGTTACCTACAGCCAAGTCAAGGTGAAAGTTGTCCTCTGATCTCCACATGCAACTGTAATGCACACCTATGCCTCACCCCCACATACACATAATGGTTTTGGTTGATATTTTTGTTGTTTTTTGGGGGGGGGGGTTTGTTTTGTTTCATTTTTTTGAGACAGAGTTTCTCTGCCTACCCTTGGCTGCCCTGGAACTCACTTTGTAAATCAGGCACAGTGCTAGATTAAAGGTGTGTGCTACTAGGCTTACAAACGGATCTTTTGAAAAGCAGCCATATGAAAAACATACAGTAAAATGAAGCAAGTTTGACTTATAAATTGACTTGCTAAGCACTTTCATAACTTTAAAGTTGAAGTCATTACTCACTGTCTCAACAGCTGTCTGCCTTGCTTCCATGTTAGCTGGCTATTCTGAGGTGCTGCAGGAGCCTCCGAGTCTTTGGTTTCCTCTGGAAATTAAGGAGGGAAAGTTTTGCATACATTATTTCAACTTATTATAGTGTTCAGTTTTTTCAGAAATAAATTTACACATGAAAATTTATTTTACATAAGACAGGAAAAAGTTCAAAGATTTACTACAGGTCTTTGCTTTAATGGCTGTTCAATAACTCAGTACTCTACCAGCTTTAAAAAAAAAAAAAAAAAAAAAAAAAAATCAAAAGATCTCAAAAGTGCATTAGCAGGATTAAAAAAAAAATTAAAATTAAAAGGGCTTCAAATAAAATAGGACTCTGCCATGTCAAATGCCTTTAAAATTAAAAAGGTATTTTTACATACTATTCAAAATCAACAATTAGATAATGAGGATATATATGTATGTGTTGTATATATGTATGTATAATCTGTGTATACATAGACATACTTCATTTTGAATTTATTTCAGTGGTCATTAATGTCTCCCTCACAGATTTTATTTTATTTTTTAGAAAAAAAATTAAACCAATGGTCCAATGGGACTAGGTCCAAGGGTCCAATGGGACTAGGAACCAGGTTGCTGAACAGTATCTAACACAGATCACTGTGATGCACACACAGGTGGTGAGTAGAGCCTTTTCTTAGGCCCTAGGGCAGTAGTTTGCAGCTATCCAGGCAGGCAGCCACTTATTTTTGGGACATGCCAAGCATCCATCTGCAGCTACCTCTTGGGCCTCAGCTTCTAGGATGCCCAGCAGATTCTCATCATCTCTAAGCTGAATCCTAAACAGATCCAGAAGAAGTATAAACACTATTTAAGGTGACTGACAAATCCATAGATAGCTCATTCTACTTGTAGCAAGTTTTTCTGTTTAAAGAGCCTAAGTGAGGAATTCAGAATCTATGTCCCAGAGACAGACTTCTGGCAGACATCCAAAAATAAATACTTATCTCCTCACTCCACTGAGCCCTTGCATTTTACAGCTTAGTAATAAATATATTTTATACACACAAAAACAGAAAATTAGTTTATTACTACCACTTTGTGAACTTTTGTTTGTTTACTGAGATAGAGCCTTATGATAGATATGTATGTGTGTGTGTGTATATATATATACACACACACATACAAACACACATGCCAGGCTGGCATCAAAATGATCCTCCTATTTAGGGCCCCTAAACTCTGAGATTAAAAGACACATGTCATAATACTCAGCTCAGAAAACCATATATACAACAGGTAAAGAGCCATTAGTTTATTTAATGAAGTGCTTACATTTACAAAAGAGAATAAAAAGGAAACCACAGGTTTAAGTATAGTGCTATACTTAACATGTACTAAACCCTAAATCCAATCCCTACCACTGAATTAAACACATTTAGTAAATAGTATAATTTCAGTGAGTAAAGCTCATAGTAAAACTACTATCACCATACAGATTTTCATTATCCAAATAAATGTACTATGAAGACAAGTGCTTGGAAAATCCTTCTCCTGTCCCATATTGAGATTATTAAACCAAATTCTCAATTATTACAGCTCCCAGACTCCTCAGAGTTACTTATATCTATTGGTAATAATTATAGTATCTTTCACAGCCACTATTTTTCTAAACATAACAACTCACCATTGTTCTTACTCTTCCTTCAACCACAAATAATTCTCTAATTTCTAAAAGTAATTACCTAATTCTGATAGTCTCTTGAATTTTTTTATTTATAACATTAAATAATAACAAATGGAGACAAAACCTTTCTAAAAATATGACTGCTCAGCTCAAAATCCAATCATCAAAAGTTAACAACTATTACTATTTGAATTTCTCATTCCAGCTTTTTGGGATTTTTTGTTTGTTTGTTTTTTGGTTTCCCGCCCCCCCCCCCCCCACAGGGTTTCACTGTGTAGTCCTGGCTATCCCGAAACTAGCTTTTGTGGATCAGGCTGGCCTCGAATTCACAGAGATCCACCTGCCTCTGCCTCTTGAGTGCTGGAATTAAAGATGTATGTCACCACTACCTGGCTTCACTGCCTATTTTCTACTTGAAAATATATACATAACTAATAGCAGCCAATGTATATACTTTATTATAGTCCAGAAAAATATATTAACATCACTTTAAAATAATTATATCAATTTGAGTATATATTATGTCCATAGAACACGTCCTAGGTTACAAAATAAAATTGCATAGTATTTATTTTTCACATTATTTCACTATGACAGTTACAGCCTTTGAAGTATATCATACTTCATGGATGTTTAAGCGAACACTGGGTACCTAGCTCAACAAACACCAGCATCCCTAAACTCTGTTCCTCTAACCACTTACTAGCTACTGTAAAACAGTATTAAACACTATTTCAACCTTTAAATCTTAATTTGTAAATGGCAGAAATAATTTCTACCAATTTTCAATTTTATAAACTTGACACCTATATTGTGAAGTTTAGCTGTATAGTTTTATTGCTAAACAACATTTGCCTGCTAATGTAGCATAGCCATTTTAATGCTGATGGACATTCTAGTTGATTCTAGATATTCCCTGTAATTACACTAAGGACATTCTTATATAAGCAGTAGTGACCACACATTTTAGATGGTGGAATTGCCAAGTTAGTAGGTTTGTGTGCTATATTCTCTTTATTCAGACAAAAGCCATCTCTAGGGCCTTAGCTTACTTGCCACCTCACCACAACATACATAGATTCTGTTCATTCCACAGCTTCATCAACATCTCATACTGCTTTTCTGTCATTTTTGTAAGGACCAAACTAAATTCATGGAAATTTTGCCTGAACTTCTTGAATTATAAAGCAGACTATCATATTTATCTTATAACCATTAAGATGCCCTCTCTATCATTAGGTACATCTACTTATGATTTTCTTTTTATCCTTTCTGCTTTTTGGTTTTTGTTTGTTTGGTTTTTTTGTTGTTTTGTTTTGTTTTTGAGATAGGATCTCTCTGTAACCCTTGCTGTCCTGGAACTTCAATTATGTAGTATCACGGTTAAATAAGGATCAGGATAAACAAATAGGCCGAATAGATGTTTATTCAGGGAGAAATAAGTTACAACCTAGACAGATGAACACCTCCCGGCTCTCCCTCCGACTTCCTTCCACAGGTCACTTCCGCCCATGGCTCCATCCCCCCAATGGGCGTGGTCAGTGCCACAGAAGGACTATCTCACTACAATGTAGATCAGGCTGACCCTGAACTCAGATATAGCAGTCTCTGCCTCTTGATTGCTAGAATTAAAGGCATGTGCCACCATGGATGGCTCTCTTATCCATTTTTTCTATTGAATTGTCTATTTTCTAAACACAGAAGAAATAAATTACTTACATATTTGAATATAATGTGAAATAATGAGGTATAAACATTTGCATGTCTTCAACTTCTATCAAATCAGTATTTTACATACTTCCCTTTTTACATTGATTTGAAGGAGTTTAAAAGCCAATGCTGTTTCATTTAATATTTATCTACAAATATACTTTGATATATGTATCCTTACATATGGTATGTATTTGCTTACTTCATTTGTTTTTTATTCAACATTCTGAAGTTTTCCATATCAGTAAACTCATTTTACTTGGGTTTTATTGTGCTTTGTGTAAGCACAATTATTTTACTTATGTATATTATAGACAAAAAGGTACTTATATGAGCACAATTTTATTGAAGGGCAGGAGGAATTTATATACTAATGACCTTCTTAATACAAACAGTTACAATGAAGTGAATTAAGAATTGGACAGGCTCTACTCCAAAACAACCAAAAATAAGCAACAGACTAAGCTCTTTCCCTGAGCAAGCCAGACTATGGGAAGAAAAATCTTTGAAGCCATTGTTTTTTCTGTATGTTTTGAGTCTTATGAACTATTCACTTTCATGGTAATTATGGGTAGTAAATATATCCACCTTCCATTTTTCTAAAACTTATTCTTACTTTAACAGGAAAAGGTTGAGACAAGGACATAGTAGCTAAGAATGATCTTGAGCTCCTAATCCTCTGACCTCTACCCTATGCTGAGGGGATCATAAGCAGACACTATTATTCCCAGTTCTTACTCTTAACTTCTCTATGTAGGAAAATAGAGTTTTCTAGTATCAGAATGAGCTTTTAAGACCACACAAAAACATGAATACCATCTTAACAAGTGGAAGATAAAATAAAAGGTTCTGTTGCTAAAGTCAAACCAGGGATGACCCAAAAGTGATCAATTCAAGTGGTATTTATTTATGGTCTGCTTCTGTCAAATCTGTAGTATTTATTATGGAACCAAAACCTAACTGGTATTTTTAAAAATTTTACTACTAATACCTACAAACATCGGTGTAAGTTTTATTTTCCTACTATACACATTAACAAAAATGTCTATGTAAAAATGGACATGCTTGTCCATGTCTGTAATTCTAGCACTCTGAAGGTAGATACAGAATGATCAGGTGTTCCAGGTCACCACTGACATCTATGGAGTTGAAAGAAAGCCTGGGATATGCAAACCCTACCTTAAAATAAGGAGAAAAGAAAATGTCGTAACCAAGTTCCAGATGAAAAATTTCTAATGTAATTTCCAATCTGTTTATTCCTCCCTCTTTTAGATTTTATACAGCTAGGTGAACTCCTAGAACTAAAATTAGCTCTTTCCTATATTCACTCCACTCCAGGCTACATATTTATCAACTACTACTCTCATATTTATACCTAATAAAGAAGAAAGTTAATTGGACATAATTTTCCTACTTTTAAGTTTAATCTGGATGACTATAAATTTCAAGTCTAGTCAAATTCCTAGTATCTTAGAACTACAATGAGCTATTTAAAACTTCCCCAAATAAAAGAACTTCTTAAGTATTAAAGATTAAGCTTGAGCTTAATGAAACCTGAGCCAGATTCACCCAAAACTGACACGAGAGAAGATCAGAATTTCTCAATTGGTCCTCTGACCTCCCCCCCCCCCCGCAAATAAATATATAAAAAAATTATGGGGGGAGGGATCATTATGTAGTCCTAGCTGAACTGAAGCTCACTATGCAGACGAAGCTGCATTGAACTCAGAGATCCGCCTGCCTCTGCCTCCAGAACACTAGGATTCATGGCATGTACCACCAGCCTAGCCAAGCACACACACACACACACACACACACACACACACACACACACACACACACACACACAAACTAAGCTCACATGAGAAACAATGTTTACAGGTAGAAAAAGTTACTTCAGCATGTTTTGATTTTAATTACCAACAAAAATGTGCCCACAATTTTATATAGGTTTCACTTTAGATAAATAACCTAAGGATAGAGAGGCAGATGAAACAAAATTTTATTTGTTTAGTATTTTCCACCAGGGGCTGGAAGATGGTTCACAAGTTTAAGATTCCACACTACTCTTGCCAAAGATGCAAATTCAATTCCCAGAACCCACACTGAGTAACTCACATCCATTTAACGTGACTTCTAGGGAATTTGATGCCCTCTTCCGTATTCTGTGGACACCAGCACTTGTGTGCACATACATGTACACACGTGAACAATTTAAAAATACATCTTTAAAAATTATTTTATCAAATTTCACAATTTATAATAATCATTCATGTAATGCTACAAATTGAAATTAGAACTGGGCGGTGGAGTCGCACACCTTTAATCCCAGCTCTAGGAAGGCAGAGGCAGGTGGATCTCTATTGAGTTTGAGTCCAGCCTGGTCTACAGAGCGAGTTCCAGGACAACCTCCAAAGCTACAGAGAAACCCTGTCTTGAAAAACCAAAAAGAGCATGTCTGCTATATAAAAAAGTAATTAAAAAAAAATAATAACATTTACCTGATTCAAAGGTTGGCATTTTCAAATCACCTTGGTTCAGTTCTGTGCCATATTTTAATTTGTGATACTTTGCCCTGAAAATTAAATGATTGATAAAAGAATAATTATTTTTTTACAACTGAGTACTACTATGTGCTTTTTAAAGTTTTCTTGCTAAAAACACTGAAAATGTACTACTAAAGAAGAAAAATTATCCAAGTAACAAATAAGTATATAAAAAGATAAATCTCTCTTAATCCTTAAAAATAGAAAAGTCTAACTTAATAAAACATATTACTTCTACTTTTCATTTTCTTTTCCTATACACAAATTAATTAAAATATAGAAAAGCTGTTAATAAAACATCAATGATGTGAATGAAGATAACAATGTTCTATTCTAGTCACATTAAAAAAAAATATATACATACCTTTCTTGTTTTAGTGCATACTCTAGCATCTTTATTCTTCTCACTAAATCCTTCTTCAAATTCTCTTGACCTTTCCTTTCTCCTTGTAAAAACGCAATCCGTGCCTAAAAACATTAAGATACATTGATTTCATTTTTCCTTAACCAAAATAGGAAAACTAAATGCAACTGCAACATTTTTATGGATGACCACAAGACTTAAAATTCACAGAAATGACCAACTAGACTTTCCATTAGATAATATAATCCTCTTTAAAAAATAAAGATAACTATAAATGGGCCATTTCTTTATAATTCTTTCCTTAGAGCCTCTAATAATATTAATGTTTAATTTTTACATAACCTTGGAAGAAACTTTATGGGTAAAAATCAGCATAGTTTAAGAAAAAAAAAGTTTCCTGGGCCCGGTGGTACATGCATTTAGTCCCAGGACTACAGAGGCAAAGGCAGAAAATGTCTGTGAGTTCAAGGCCTGCCTGGTATACAGAGCTAGACACAGAGAAACCCTGCTTGGGGGGGGGGGGGTGGAGGGCACATGGGACGAGGAGACAGGGACACAACGACAACACCCTGGAGGCTGTAGGAATAGGGAAGGGGCCACCACAGCCCTATGACCTCATTTCTTTCTGTTACCACTTCCTACTATAAACTACCACCACTTTCCTTCCTAAAAAACAAATACAACACACACACACAAACAGAAAGGTATATTTCTCAAAGGCGTAGTGGTGTGCCCCTTTAATCCCAGCACTCAGAAGGCAGAGTCAGTTAGACCTCTGTGAGTTCAAGGCAACCCTGGTGAGTTCCAGGACATCCAGAGCTATATAGTAAGAAAGACCCTGTCTCAAAAAAAAAACAAACAAACAAAAAAAAAAACCACATACACACACACACACACAAAAACAACAAATCATTATTTTGAATGTATGAGTGTTTTGCATGTATGTATGTCTGTGCCACCATGTGCATACAGTTACAGACGGTGGTGAGCCAACATGTAAGTAATGAGGGGTTGAATCCAAACCCTCTGGAAGAGCAACTTAAGAGCTCTTAACCACTCATCCTTCGATACAACCCCACCAGGTTTTCTTTCTTTCTTTTTATTTTAAAGTGGATTATAAGAATTGAATTCAGGTCCTCAAGTTTGCAAGACAAGCACCTTATAATCCTCCCTCCCTCCCCAAGCCTTATAATTTTTCTTTTTGTAAAATTAATTTGTTTTTTACATTCCAGTCCCAGTTCCCCATTCCTCCTTTCCTCCCACTCCTGGCACTTCCCCTAGGAAGTCTACTACCTCCCGTAGGAAGTCTACTAAGTCCCTCTTCTCATCTTGTGATACATGACCAAGGCACCTCCCCACTCCCACACCCCATGTCTAGGCTGAGCAAGGTGTCTCTCCATATAGAATGGACTCTACTAAGTCAAGTTTGTGCATTAGTGTTATAGATCTTGGACCCACTGCCAATGACCTCATTTATTGTCCCTGCCACACCATTATCACCTATATTAAGGGAGTCTAGTTTGGTCTTAAGCAGATTTCCCATCTGTTAGACCACAGTTAGTGATCTCTCACTAGCTCTGGCCAGCTGATTCTGTGGGTTTCCCCATTATGGTCTTGACGTCTTTGTTCATATTACCATTCCTCCATCACTTTGACTGTACTCCAGGAATTTGGCCCAATGGTTGGTTGTGGATTTCTGTATCTGCTTCCATCTGTTTTCAGAAGAGGGTTCTAGATTCTCTGTGGTTGTAGGCTGGGTATCTTTTGCTTTATGTATGGCATCCACTTATGAGAGAGTACATACTATATTTGTCCTTCAGGGTCTGCCCATTTGCCTGCAAATTTTAGGATGTCATTGTTTCTTACCACTGAGTAAGTACTCCATTGTGTAAATGTACCACAATTTCTTTATCCATTCTTCACTTGAGGGGCATCTAGTTTGTTTCCAAGTCCTGGCTATTATGAATGTTGTTATGAGCATAGTTGAGCAAATGTCCTTGTGGTGTGACTGTGCCTCCTTTGGTATATGACTAAAGGTGGTATTGCAGGGTCTTGAGGAAGGCTGATCCCTAATTTTCTGAAAAAATCACCATACTGATTTCTGCAGCGACTGTACAAGTTTGCACTTCCACCAGTAATGGAGAGTGTTCCCCTTTCTCCACATTCTCTCCAGCATAAGCTGTCATTGGTGTTTTGATCTTAGCCATTCTGATCAGTGTAAGATGGTATCTCAGAGTTATTTTGATTTGCATTTCCCTGATGACTAAGGATTATACTGTTGACCATTTCCTTAAGTGCCTTTCTGCCATTTAAGATTGTTCTGTGGAGAATTCTGTTTAAAATTGTACCTCACTTTTTAATTGGATTATCTGGTAGTGGATGTCTAGTTTCTTGAGTTCTTTGTATATTTTGGAGATCAGCTCTTTGTCAGATGTGGGCTTGGTGAAGATCTTTTCCCATTCTATAGGGAGCCTTTCAGTCTTGTTGACTGTGTTCTTTGCTTTACAGAAACTTCTCAGTTTCACAAGGTTCCATTTATTAATTGTTGTTCTCAGAGTATCTGTGCTACCAGTGTTCTATTTAGGAAGCGATCTCCTGTGCTTGTGCATTCAAGTGTATTACTCTCTCTTCTATGAGGTTCAATGTGGATGGATTTATATTAAGGTCTTTGATCCAGTTCAATTTGAGTGCATGGCGACAGATATGAATCTATTTGCATTCTTCTACATGTCAACAGCCAGTTATACTAGCACCATTTGTTGACTATGTTTTCTTTTTTTCATTTTATAGTTTTAGCTTCTTTGTCAAAATCCATGTAATCATAAGTGTATGGGTTGATATCAGGTTCTTCCATTGGATTCCATTGGTTCACCTGTCTGTTTTATGCCAATACCAAGCTGTTTTCATCACTATAGTTCTATAGTAGAGCTTGAAGTCAGGGATGGTGATGCCTCCAGATGATCCTTTATTGTACAGGGTTATTATGGCTATCCTGGGTTTTTTTGTTTTTCCATATGAAGTTGAATATTGTTCTTTCCAAGTCTGTGAAGAATTGTGCTGGGATTTTGATGGGGATTGCATTGACTCTGTAGATTACTTTTGGTAAGATTGCCATTTTTACTATGTTGATCCTACCTATCCAAGAGCATGGGTGATATGTCCATTTTCTGATTATCTTCTTTAATATTTTTCAAAGACTTGAAGCTCTTGTCATACAGGCCTTTCACTTGTTTGGTTAGAGTTGCCCCAAGATATTTTGTATTATTTGTGGTTATTGTAAAGGGTAATGTTTCTCTGATTTCTTCCTCAGCCCATTTATCATTTGTATATGGGGGGGGGGCTACTAGTTTTTTTTTTTTTAAGTTAATTTTGTACATTGAGTTAATCCTGCTACATTACTGAAGGTGTTTATCAGTTGGGGAGTTCTCTGGTGGAATTGTTAGAGTCACTTATATAAACTAGCATATCATCAGCAAATAGTGAGTTTGACTTCTTTTCTAATTTGTATCCCCTTGAATTCTTTTTGTTGTCTTATTGCTCTAGCTACAGCTTCGAGTGCTATGTTGAATAGATATGGAGATAGTGGACAGCGTTGTCTTCTTCCTTAGTTCAGTGGGATTGCTAGCTTTGAGTTTCTCTCCATTTAGTTTGATGTTGGCTGTCAGGTTACATTTATTATGTTTAGGTATGTTCCTGTTATCCCTGATCTCTCCAAGACCTTTATCATGAAGGGGTGTTAGATTTTGTTCAAGGCCTTTTCAGTATCTAATGAGATGATCATGTGGTTTCTTTCTTTCTGTTTACATGGTAGATTACATTAATGGATTTTCATATGTTTAACCATCCTTCTATCTCTGAGATGAAGCCTATTTGGTCATGGTGGATGATTTTTCTGAAGTGTTCTTAGATTTGGTTTTGCCAGTATTTTGAGTATTGCATCTGGGTTCATGAGAGAAATGAGTTTGTAATTCTCTTAGTTGTGTCTTTATGTGATTTGGGCACCAGGGTAACTATAGCCTCGTAAAAAGAGTTTGGTAATGTTCCTTCTGTTTCTATTGTGTGGAATAATTTGAGGAGTATTGGTAATGGTTCTTCTTTGAACATCTGGTAGAATTCTGGGCTTGGGCTGTTTTTGATTGGGAAGCTATTGATAACAGTTTCTATTTCCTTAGGGGCTATTGGTGTATTTAAGTTGTTTACCAGTTCTTGATTTAATTTTGGTAGGTGATACTTATCTAGAAAATGGTTCATCTCCTTAAAAGTTTTCTAATTTTGTGTTTTTGAAGTATGTCCTGATGATTCTCTGGATTTCCTCAGTGTCTGTTATGTCCCCCTTTTCATTTCTCATTTTGTTAATTTGGATATTCTCTCTGTCTTTTGGTTAGTTTGGATAAAGTTTTATCTATTTTGTTGAATTTCTCAAAGAACCAACGCTTTGTCTCATTGATTCTTTGCATTGTTTCTTTTTTATTGATTTCAGCCTTCAATTCGACTATTTCTTGCTGGGGATCTACTCCTTCTGAGTAAATTTGCTTCTTTTTGTTCTAGCACTTTAGTTGTTCTGCTAATTCACTAGTGTAGGATTTTTTCCAGCTTCCTTATGCAGTCACTTAGTGCTATGAACTTTGCTCTTAACAATGCTTTCTTTGAGTCCCATAAGTTTGGGTATGTTGTGCTAAGTTTTTAAAATTGCTTTATGTCCCAATCTGCTGATGAGTTAATAAGCTGGTAGTAGCATCAAGAATTTATTAGTTTTATTCCAACTTGAAAATATAAAGGTTGCATTTGACCAAATAAGTAACAGATTTAGTACTTAGTAAAGTGTGCAGGGCTTCCAGTTACTTACTGGTCATAATTTACCATTGATAGCACTCACTTCTGCAAATAAACATTTAAATGTAACCTCAAAAAACAAACTTACAAACCACAGTTGGTAACTCATGCCTGTCATCTGAGCACTAAGAAGGCAGAAACAAAATTAAAATTTTAATGCCAACCAGAGCTACAGTGAAACTGTCTGAAATAAAACAAAAACAAATGAAAAGTTATGATGGCATCAAAACTCAAAGGTACCTAATTAATAGCACAAGCATGTGAGATTGTT